TTGGGGCCTCCCTCAAACTAAATCAACGCCAATATTAAATCTCAACAAGAATGAACAAGAGTGTTTTTGATTGTATTCTAATTTGAAACTCTACAATAGTCTATTGAGAAAGAATACCAAAGTGAAAGTCATCTGAATTTTGTCACGTATACATTTCTTTTCAAGCCATCTCCAAACTTGAAGAAAGGAATTTCTTGAAAGATAACAGCATCAGCTATACATGTAGATAATAGCAAACATACTAAGCACCTCAGCTTCTGTGGTATTTGTCCTTATCAAGCATATTTTTATTACTGGGAAGGTTGAATCATTCCTCAGTAAGCTATGTCTGATATCAACATAGCTGTGTTATCTAAATGACCTACATTAGATACACCATTGGATGAGTCACTCCCAGCAAAGACAACTGTGCAACATCCTATTGGCCATCAGTGTGACATTCACAACTGTTCCAGCATTGACGAAAAAACTGTCCACGTGTTCATGTATTTCATTCTGATTGATTTTTTTCTCCCCAGAAAAAAGAATCCATGATTTCTCTATTTTATTTTTACAACTTGAAGTTAAATCTGTTGGTTTGGCCCTTTTTTTCTAGATTACAATTTTACGACCAAAGCAACATTTTGATCAATTCGTGTGACCTTCAGTCTTTCAGACTTTGAAACACCATTTTATTCCTTTTTTTATACAGTTCTGCTGTTCTTTGCTCAGCTTCCAATAGGGGGAGCTTTTCAACCAACAGGGAACACTTGCGTCTGCCTGGTCAATACAGACACAGGTGCAGAAACTACATGATTTGTGTGAAAGTCTATCTTTAGAGTAAAACGGCCGCTAATGATGACTATCCATTTAACACGCTAATTAATTCAAAACTAATTGGATTGATCCAGGACAAAGTGAGCCATCCACACAAGCCTGAGTCGAATCCACGGAACTGGATGACTTTAATTTGGTCTGACATTTCAAAGCATTTTGCATGACGGTATCTGTGTCGGACTGTTATCTTTGTCAGGTCGGGGTGCTTTGTCCGTTATCTTCACACCCAGACAAACAGATCAGCGCTCAATTGTGAGACAAAGGAAAGTGTGGAGCAAACTGCAGATGTCACTCATGTTGCATCACAGCTAAGCCCCGATCAAGGACGCAAGCTCGCCGATCCCGTTCCCACGAGAAAACGCCCGCCAACCACGGGACGACGGCCGTAACGAAAATCAAAAATGTCAGCTGCCTGTCTTGTTCCGTGTGAGCTCGCGATCACGCGTACAGGACGCATCTTCCTCGATACATCAAAGCGCCCGAGCTCCCCCGCCCAACAGACAACTCACATGGAAGGGATTTATACCACCATACCTTTTATTACTTCCACCATTGTCAGCTTTATGTGCAAATAGACGGGAAAAGGTGGGAGAAAACAAAGGGTCTGGACAACACTGTCAAGCGAGGAGACAAAAGCAGCAGGTAGGTGGTGCGGTGACTGCGTTAGCGGCGCAGTAGAAAGGTACGGGGCCCACGTCTGTGGCTTAATCCGGAGCGGGGCCGGAGACAATAACCTGTGGTGGTCCATCTCGGCAGGTGCCGGCATAATTAGTGGTGGGTTCCTCACCCCACAGCCGCCCACTGCCACCTCGCCGTCGACCAATCTCTGTCTCCACAGCTGATCCCGTTATTTTCTTCCCCTGCACTTGTAGTGTCTGAGCGCCTGAGGGGAGCCTTCCTTCTAATACCATGTTGGAGGTGTACCGTTGGCAAGCCTTTGACTTGGATCCCTTTCGTAGTAAGTCAATCCTCAGTTTACTTTTGATTCCTCCCCCGGTTAGTAAGCCGCCTTATGCAACGAATCACACTGTCCAGGGTAGCAAGCTGAAATATATGTATATACATGAGATAAACCTTACAGAAGACTGCATGTGTATATTTCTTACTGTGAGATATAGAAAATGTATGCATACTGCTTTGTGCTGATGGACAGCTCCAACTCGAAAGGTGAGTTAATTGCATTTATTTCGTACCCATATCATGTACCGGGGTGGCTCTGCATGCACGGCTGCTGCAACTGCAGAGCAAACGAGTTGCTCAAGATGTTACCTTCGCAGACGGAAATGTCCTGGGGGGTTATTGAGCATGTGTGCATGTTGCAGCACACCTTGTAGCATCTGCAGCAGGAGCTAAAGCCCAGCCTGCAATGACAACAGTCATGTTACCTGCTGTAATGAATTGCCAATTAGGGCTTTCTGCGGTGTGCTTTGATGTACCTAAGAACCGTGAGACATGGTGTGCCTGAGCTTATTTGTGTGAATGGAGAGTTCCTAAATCCTGTATTGAATTAAGCTATGCATTGCTGCTGGCGCAAAGCACCTTTCAACGTGGACAGTATTAGATGCGGATCAAGGCTTTATTGCATTGCCAAGTGCATGAGCTTTGCAAGCGATTTGAGCTCTAGAAAAGCAACTGCGAAGCCACTCCTTGGTCAGAATAACAAAAAAAATGTTGCAAACGACGTGAGCTAGACATGACCGGTGTGGGGGCGTGTGCCGCTTATCCGCCGTCAGATCTGCCGCCGAGCGGTAAACAAAGCGCGGACGCCAACAGCCATACCACGACAACCGCTAGAGCCCCGGCGTAACTTCATTATTCAACGTTCCCACATTTCTTTAAAAAAACAGGTGGAAGAAGCGAGGCGCCGCCGATTTGACGGGACAGTGGCTTTTGTTTCACCTGCTTATCCTCCATTTCAAAACAAACAACAATTGTTACGGAAGCAGTTAAGTGCTTACAGTGTGCTGGCTGAATGGGCTGAATAGGCTATTAGGGCCCAGCGCCCGGCTCACCTAACAAGCCCACCACCACACCGTATCAAGAGTCAATTCACCAAGCCTCTGGCACGCCAGGTGTTTCAAGGAAAAACATGGGGGCGGTCCAACCCACAAATTTACCTGAACCAATGAATGGAAAATGACACGGAACACAACACTGGTCAGCCCTCCCTTCCTGTAACTTAGTGTAAGAACACCCACAGAAAATGACTGTTTCCAGGGCCCACAGGCCAGCTCCAAGGCAAACATTTCCCCAACAAAATTTTACCACTGGCCATAAGTTAGCACTACAGCCGAGGAGTTGGCTTGTGCAGGCTCTGGAAACTGTCTGACACCCAGGCTACATGAGAACTACTGAACCTTAGTAACAGGAAGGAACCACTAGCTACAGGTAGTGGGAAGAGTTTGTGCAAATAGAGAAGCGAATTGAAAGCATTCAAGATATGTTGTGCCGGAAACAGGAGTGTATTTAGAAGTTGCTACCATGCAGAACTAGTATTTGAAGAGCTAACTCAAAGGTGTATTGACAGGTTTACTTGTACATGGTCCATGTTACCTTGTTTTTGTCACACAATAGTTTGTTTGTGCGGCAGACATTTTATATTATTATAAGATAACGGATATCTTCAAGACTGAATGACATCAACACTACTTTTGCTACTAGCATAAACAAGTAAATTAAGTGCATGTACAATATTCATAATTGGATAATACTGAAGCAGATTACCTAATTATGTATTAGCTATACCCTTTGATGTAAAATAATATTCTGTGTTTATATATACCTTCCATGCTAGGTAAAGCCGTCTGAAAATTCAGAGGCATTTTCTCATGAAAAAAATGTTGCTTGCCTTAAGCTTTTGACCACAATGTTGAAGTTATGTTGGTTTAGACGTAGGTATTTTAATGTGGTCCTAGTTTTAGGACACATTCTTACAGAGCCTAAATTACAAACAAAGCTGCATACTTCAAGCTTACTTCAATGAGGCTTGAGTACACAATTAAAATCCTATTACTAGTAGAAACTTGATTCAAAGAGTATAAAGGCAAAAACCTACTCACTCATACCAATGGAGCTTTAAATTCACAAGAGAGCTTTCAAACTGTTTTTAATTCAAATTCTGTGTTCCCCTCTGAATTTTTTAAAGATCCCAAAAACTGATCCACAAAGCACAAGCATTTCTGATAAGAAATCACTTTACAAAAGCAACAATTACAAAAGACTACTGATGTTTTTAGACAACCACCTCTGGCAAAAGATGAGGAAGGAAAGATTAACTGATAGCAGACCTCCCATACTGCTGGGACTCGGTTCACAAAAGGCAAGGACTTTTCTAGAACTCTGGACCTGATCTTTGTCTCCTGGGCTAATCAATTTTCTCACACATTTCAACAATGCGGTGAGAATTCCTCTCTCTCCATGGGGCTGGAGCGAGCCACCCACGCGACCCTGTTCACAGGGAACCCCTGCGAAACATTTCCGTCCCTGGACAATACACAGAAACTGGGTCAAACTGGAGTAGGGTGGGGCGGACTGATCAACAAACTATCCCATGTCAATTACCCTGGTCTCCTGACAACTGCACAAAGAGTGGACATACCAGCCACATTCCTGGACCTGCCCCACACAATAGGCACGTCAGGTGTTTTTGGGCTGTTTACGCCCGGACAGTGGAAAAACATCTCACATACCTAGCACTTAGGCATGACAAGACTGGCTTCACAAGGACAGGCCGGTGAGTTCTGTTTAAATCCTATGGATAAGAAACATTGACCAAAGTACAACTGCTATTCGAGTGACTGAATTGGCATTCCTATCGACTACGGCACTTCTGTAATCTGATTCAAAGACCATAGTGGTTAAAATTTGATTGTAAACTTTTAATGGCAAAAATTAGTGAAGGGTGTGGTGGTTGGATAGACTACTACATTTTATGGCGACGCCACATAAATATCAGGAGTATACTATTATCTACTACAAAGAATCAAACTACTTTTAGAATAGTAACTTAGAACTTTTGGGGGGCTACGTGCACCAACAGGAGTATCTTGTACTATGAAACATGAACAGTATGGCAATAGACTCAAACGTTGTATAATGAGAGTATATTCGGGCATGATAAATATTTAGCATACTTTGAGAGACACTGGGAATTTACAAGTACGATATATAACGTGGAAACGTACATCATAAGTTGTATCTCGGCGGTAAACCACGACTTGGGTGCAACTTTTCCGCTAGGTGGGGCGCTTGGTGGCGTTTGGCCAACGGGACTTTCCGTGGGCACGTTTACCTACAAGAAAACGGAAACGTACATAGAAACTACGTCAGGACATGTTTGGTGAAAAATAGTTAACACGTCAAACGTTGTAAAGGTGTATATTATAGTGTATACACTCGTTACTATGACCCACAAATTCGCAAACAGGAAACGGGTCGGCACTTTGAAGTTACTGTTGGGATTACTGAAGGCGAGGCCCGACAATAGCTCGTGTACATTTAGGAGATTTGTCAAAGCAGAAAACGACATTCGAGCGCCTTTCAATCATACGCCTACGCACATCATGTGGTCACAGCTGGGCGAAAACAAGTCGGTACGTGAATCAGCAAACCGGGGGTCACGGTTGTTCTACGGGGCTTACCTTACTCTCGGTCGGTGTCGAAGCCTCCTTGGGCTTCTCCGACTTTTTCTTGGACTTCGGTTTCGTCATGCTTGGTTGTGAGAGTGTTTACGGAGGCAAAATTGTCAAATGAAAGGAAAATTGTCAACTAAAGTCCGCCATCTTGGCGATTTGGTCCCTACTGCGCATGTCGAGAGGTCAACTACCTCCCATGACACATCCAAGACCCCCATGGTTACTTCTAACTTACCTACTTAGTTTTGCCATAGTAACAATTTGCAGCGTCTAACAAAAGGTATAATATTCCATCCATAAAGTATATCTTCAACAATCTCAATTGATAAATGATAAATTACAGAGGAAGTGATTATTCTAAAGCTGAAATTACACCGGCAATTTTATTTGAAATTTTGATCATTATCGAACCTGTGGGGTCATGAAATGGAAGTGACCAATGGACGGGGGTGGCTGACCCGTGTGTGAACAATTTGTGAACACGGTTATTTTTCTGTGGGCGTTGGCCGTAGAATTCTTGTGGTTAGGCGGCACTTCAGATCCTTTATCCGCCAAATCGATCGTCAAACAAAACACCTTCCGGTGGTCCGAAGGGTGCGCCGAGTTTGCGGGTCTTTTTGTGGGCTACTTTAAGGTTGATTCAGACCAAAATTTGGTTGATTCATAAACGCGGAACAAAAGAAAACTGTGCGGAAGAATGTTTCACACACCTTGATCCCCACAAAACCCCATCCCTAACCAACATGTCATGCACGTGATTTTGAAAGAATGACCCGAATTTCAGCGGTTTACACAACGCGTGTTTTTCCTAGAGTTGATTTCAGCAGACGACAGATTCACCTGTACTCTTATAAAGTTAGACTTCCTGCCTTGTTTTAAATCAACACCCAGTAAATCTTATTGTTTCCTATGCCTGTTTATACACAATTCATTTTTAAAGCATGTCCTTCATACCTTTGTACTTTATCATTGAACAAACACAATTTCTGAAAACCTGAAATAACAACATTCATGTCCGGATATCCGACTGATGATTGACGTTGTTGCAGACGACATTTGTGGCAGAGAAAATTTTGCCGCACAAACTGTGCTTTTATTCGAAGACAGGAAGTGGTCGTCGTTAAATATTGTCGCTTCTCTTTTTACGACTCGATACCGTGTCGGTTTGTGATAATTACATGCCATAAGAGGCTTTACGGAATACTTTTCCTTCTAATCTAAATTGCGCGGGAACGCACTTCATTGGTTTTGATAGGCTTAATTTCGCACCATATACCAGAGAAGACCGCACGGCCTCTAATCTTACACGGGAAGTTGTAGTTTTTCTGTTATTGCTCCAAAAATGTCCGCGACATGTGTATATCCTGAGGGCCAAATAGCGCCACAACAATGCGTCTCCTGGTTTCGTAGCGTGCCGCCAAACCACAAGGATCATTAAGGGTCCCTGTGACTAGGGGAGGGTGTGCGCCCGGCGATCGCGGCTTGATTGGCGAAGCCATACTTGGGAGGCGTGCTCCCTACTCTTGCGATAAAGTGATTGGCGGTGTAACGATCTATTGATTGTTGACACGGCACGAAAAAGCCGTCAGGCCTGCTACGCAATGGGTAACAAGTCTTCCGTAACCCAACCCCAGGCAAACAACTACATTCACTGTTTGTGACCACGCGATTGACTGAATAGTGGAGTAAAGTGAGGTTGTGGGCGGCCAGCCAAGAGTCAGTACTGACACGAATTCTTGTTGCGCGAATCAGTTAGCCTGCGAACAAAGGTTTTCCTCGCCTGCGGGGTCATTTCGGCCCATCTTCCCCAATTATTTAAGACATCTCGAGGAATCAGGCCAGAGCGGAAGCCTTCAGTTTGACCATATCCCCTAGAGTGAGTGACTGGGTAGTGAGTCACTGAGCTTCGCCGGGAGTGGTTGGCGATTACATGCTGAACAAACTCGTTGCGCATCGTGAAATAACCGCAGCGACGGAAGCGGGCGACACTCAGACCAGTACAAACCAGAGCAGCGACAGCCCGCGCCCTTCCGCGCCCGTGGCCAGCTCTCTAACCGCGAATATTACGACTCGCCGGCCAACTGACATGCTGATTCCCACCCCTTCTACCCTAGACTCCAGGCGGTTCTCGCCGTTCGCGGACCCCGGGAAGATGGGAGACCCTCACCGCAAGGTGCACCCCCACTTCAAGGGAGACCGAGGCCTGGTGGACGCCTTGGCGGACCACCCCGGCGAACTGGTCCGTACGGACAGTCCCAACTTCGTCTGCTCCGTCCTGCCGTCTCACTGGCGCTGCAACAAAACGCTCCCCGTGCCTTTCAAGGTGGTGGCACTGGGCGACATCCCGGACGGGACACTTGTCACCGTCATGGCAGGGAACGACGAGAATTACTCGGCGGAGCTGAGGAACAACCAGGCCGTCATGAAGAACCAGGTCGCCCGATTCAACGACCTGCGCTTCGTGGGACGCTCCGGACGAGGTAAGACCACAACAGACGTATTAAAGCGCCGTGAAGTCGTGTTTTGTACCAAAATCCTGTGTCCCTGTATGTAGCACTAGTAGGTTTTGTAACATCATGGCCTCGTGGGCAAATGGCCAAGTTTTACCACCGTGCGTACACATACATACTTTGCGGGCGAAATCCAACGGACGCACCATTGTGAATTACGGAGTTCTTGTAATCTCTCTGCCGTATCCCTTTCATGGTCACCCACAGCATACTTGGTGGCTAAAAACTCTAGACGATTGACTTCTGACATTTCGTAGTTTTATGTATGTATGTATGTACGAAACCACTTCGGTGTCGGTGGGCCGTTTTAACCTTCTTGGTGAGCCTTTTATTTCTCGTGTTGTGTGGGGGCAAGGCCGCGGTTTTTAATCGTGGTTGCGTGTAGGAAAGACGTATTATTGGTTTCAGCGATCATGCAAGTTTCAAACTGCTGCTTGTAGCTTGTGTGTTATGCGTGGTATGATATTAATTGTCTGGGAGTAGTAACGACTGTCACACAAATGTATATTTCTACTTTTCTGATCAAACATTCATTGTTTATGCCTACGACTCATGGTCTACACGTGCACGTAAACACGTACACATTCTAGACGGTGGTGTCCTCAACAGACCCCACTGTTCTCCAATATCATTCAGTAGTTAGGAATGTTCAGATTCAGCCACTTCCTCGCAGGAAGGCATGGCTGTTGGGAAAGTCACGATCACGTGAGTTCATTGCCCTCTTGTCTCCCTCCCCACCCTTTCTAGGAAAGAGCTTCACTCTGACGATTACGGTGTTTACCAACCCGCCTCAAGTTGCCACCTACCACCGCGCCATCAAAGTCACCGTGGACGGGCCACGAGAGCCCAGAAGTAAGTGCAGTTGTTCATCTTCACTAAACTCTTTTGTATGAATAGTTTACTCTTCAGTGTAACCCACATGGCTACTAGTGGTCATAGTTAAACCACGCCACGAGTTGAGGCTAGCCCGCGCTATTTTAAAGCGCCAGGCGTCCAGGGTTTGGTTACTCATGCCCCATGTGACTTCCTGTGCTAGCGGAGTGGTGTAGAAGGCGCCCTTGCCCGGTGGTATGCGACCCGGACGTATTGTGTAAACTCAGCGGCTGTGTGCCCGAGAGAAAAGTCGAGAGGCGAACAGGCCAGGCGAACACAACAACAACAGGTATCCACGTCAGGAAGGGACGCCCCAGAATCCTCCGCGCTGACATTGAGTAACACCCGGCCAAAAGCTGACACGTCAAAGCCGCCCCGGTGCACTTTGTCCGATTGTTGGCACCTTTGTTCCACGTCAACATGTAGACGGCCGGTTTTGAAAACATGTTTGTGTGGAAAGAGGCAAGGTTTCGGGCCAGGGGACCGCGTGAAAAGCACATGGCCCGCCACGCAGGCTAATCTGAATGTAATCGCAGGAGATAGTTCAGAACTTGTGAACATGCGGGGGACGCGTGTACTTTCACTTCTTGGTAACAAGGAAGCAGGAATAGGAAAAAGTTCTGTGGAAACACATTGTTTTTTTAGCCTTCCCGCCCCGTTGTTAAATTAAAAGACTCTTGCTATTTTGGCACGGACTGGTGAAGTGGTTTAGCCAAGATCACGCTTCTTTGGAATCAAATTAAGTTCTGCGTCATGAATGAGTTTCGCTCAATTCAACTTTAAAAGTGGCGACCGTTAGCCGATGAAATTGGCCGCGTTTGGGAGTCATTATGACGCAAAGTAGCCCCGTTTCTGCGCAATTATTTTGTACACTTAGTCACGACACACTCAGTTTCACGAGCCAAGTTAGCTTGCTTTTTTGTTAAACATGAATCTTTGCCAAGAACATGAATCTTTGCCAAGTCGCCATTCTGTGCGTAATTCCGGCCTGATATGGCAGTTACTCAGAATTTACTTACGTTGTAACTGTTATTTGAGTCAGTAATATATAAGCGGTGTACGTGTTTGTGTTTGAAAAAAAAAAGAACGTCAACAAATAGCTGTTTGAAGCATATAATCCACGGGGAAAGAAAATATGAACATTCTCCAAGTGATTTATTCTTATAAAGTTACCCCTGCAGCGCCTTTTGACTTTGAGCCAACAATCTTTCACACCCTTCTTGGATGAAGGTTACACGAGTCCGTCATTTCTTTTGTTTACAAGACTATTTTTCGCTGACCCATATGTACTTTATGGTGGGAGTATTTGCCTGTTAACAACAACGCAACAAAAATGCTGCGTTCGGCAAGGTTTTTTGGCCGAGTTTCAGGGACGACGTTGGCGACAAGTCAATTATTAGCCCGTTGTTTTTCCCGCCAATCAGTTTAAAAATAGCCCAGGACTTTAGTAACTGTGCATGTCAACAGTCTAGCCGGCCTCATGATTGTAGCGTGACATTGTGCAGGTGTCCGTGTGGACGGACTTAGCGGAGCGACTTAACCTTCGCCGGCGGGATTTCAATGAGATGTGGTAGCCTTGGGAGAAGAACAAGCAGCGCTATGCCCTTACGGGCGTGTTTTGAAGTCACCTGGCGGTGGTCCGTGTGTTTACAACGTCGACCCCGACCAATAGAATACTCCAAAACAAACACCGGAGGATTTGTTTGCATGCAGGCGGTTGGGAGAGCGGGGCATTCATTCACTGTTTACCGATTGTGTCCTCAACTCTGCTCCCTGTTGAGTGATCTCTGCCCACATCGCGTCTTTTATGATGCGCCCTGGCGATAGCGAGGTGAAATGTGGACACTTTAGAACTGTATATTAGCAGGGGGTAATTGTTTCGTCCTTGGCCGGGGTGTCAAAGGGAGTTTGAAGTTTAAAAACACGCCCTGCGATAGGTGTGAGGTAGTAATTGTGGCGTGAGCTTACACATAGGTGACAATCCCTTTATATAGAGTGACCTCAAAAGGTTATTGTTTTATGGACTTGTCTAGAACGCCGCCCAAACAATTTTCGGTCATTGTACAGTGTACACCTTGTGTAGCAGAATAGTGTTGCATTTGGCAGTGAAAAAAGACAAGAAAAACGATATGAAAATAACTTTTCTTTTGAATTGAAGTGAATATATTCAGTGCATTTTCATTTGGAACAAAAATCCCCATCTTGTAAAACGTATTGACCTAGATAAAACAGTGTCATAATGCTTAAAATGGGACAACTTTCTAGTCATATTTTCCCTCAAATAGCGTCTGAAACAAAAGGACTTCACAGTTTGGGCCCACTGTGTATTCAATGATCGCCAACACTTAACAGGTCCTTTACATTTTCCAAGAGTAGGACTTTCAACCCAGACCAAAGGTTACCTTTCTACAAACAACCCTACCGCAACAACACACACACACACACACACACACAAGATTGACCAAAACACTGCACTGGACCCGTGCTGTTGACCTTTACTCAAGAATAAACAATTCAGTGCTTATCAACTGTACGATAATCTACTAATGAAATTTCTGTCTGTGTCCCTGTAAGAGGGTCATAACACGGTTTTAGCCTGCTATGTCACCATACTGTACAGAAAATAAACTGTGGGTGACAACCCCTTTGAGAGTCCACACATGTCCTTAGACCAAGTTGAAACTCGTCTGAAATATTCGGGAAATGTCCGACCTTTATTGTTTGACCTTCTAATCCCAAGGATTTGTTGTCAACGACAAAGCATGCCTTATTACCTGCCAACAGGTACAGGTGCACCTGTGCCATTAAAGTAAGTCATTGTTTTGTTTGTTACTTGATCTTTGCAAATTAATAGACCAAACTGACATCAGAAAACAAGCTGTAAAACTGAATGACGTGTTTCATCCCCAACTTTTGAATTTTGTACACACAAAAAAAGTTATTTTCTCCTTTTTCAGAAAGCACCCCCACCCCAATTAAGAGAATTGAGTGAATTGCCCTTATTGTCAGAACTACGTTTGAAATGTAGTGTAATGATAAAAGCCGGGGTGCACGTGTGCTGCGGCCTTGTTGTGTGTTTAGGCCACAATAGCCCAGTTATCCCGACGTCGTACCCACACCACACAGATAATGTGTGGACGGAGCCTGCACGTGCCAACCAATGGTGGCCCCTTTGTCTCTGAACAGGTGATAAAGTTGGGTATTATTCCAGCTATAATTGAAACTTCCTTTGTGTGTGGTAGGTGACAGGACTCCACTGGAGAGCGGCAATACATCTTGGGCATGGTGGCTGCAGAACAGGTGTAATTGGTGCCCGGCCTGATTAAATGCTTCCCAATAGTAAATAGGCCCACCGAGGTGCCATTGTCCCAAGCTTTGCACAGGGGGATCTACTGTAAGACTTAAAAACTGTCAGATAAGCGGTTATGGCATGGTGGTCAGGCCAGCTGCACCAGTGACAAGACAACTCAAACCCCCATAATGTTCCATGAACTCAAACAGTTGGTATCACTGTTACAATCATTGATCACAATTTCCTTTTTCTACAGAAAAAGAAATATCAAAGTGAAGTCCTTTAGATGTGGACACACAATTTGCAGGAGACCAAATGTCGCCAAACTCTAACTACTCTCATGTTTTATAAGATGTTTGTCTGAAGTGCCTGTTTCAAGCATACACAGCAAATCTTTATTGATGCTCCAAGTCACAGTCAGCTGCACCTCAAGGTTACATTTTGCTTATCGAAGGTGTGTCTGACAACAGATCATTACCTCTGCAGGTGTCCCTAAACGCAGGCCTTACAGTCTAGTACCTGTCTCTGTCCTGCCCTCACCTGTTCTTCGATAGGGGACTAATTGACCTGAGGTTTAATTAACGGTTAGCACATGCATTTACAGCAAAATGTTCAATGACACCATAATTACTTTCATCCCATGTCCTGCGACCATGAAAAGTGGCCATTTGAAAAAGGTTGCAGTTCCCTCATTTTGTCATAATTTGAGAAACATTCAATGTCGTTGCAACAAATCACCTAGTGTTAAAAAAATATGTCCAGGAAAATGTAATTGAAAGTCGAAAATTGTCAGTTTGGAAAAGGCTCTCATAGTTGACATTATTTTTTTGGTATCAGATTACCGTAACACGATTGTCGTCTGTGTCGTTTTGTTGTCCCTCACCTGTAGTCCTAACTAACATAATCCCCAGAGGGCACTGTGTTGAATAGAACAATAGGGCTGCCTGAAACGCTAACATACTGTCACCTTCAGATTTAATCGTCCCAGCGTATCATCTCATTTCTGCTTGTAACTGTCACTTGTGGCCTATTGTGTGCACATTTTGACCACCTCACTAACTTTTGTCCATGCTCTATTGTCTCTCCCCTCTCTATAGCCCGCTTCCATACTGGTAGCTGCCCGTATACCGACCTAGGCATGGCCTTAATAGGCAAGTCCTCTTCCACTTATTCTGTCACTGTGTCCTTTTGAAGTTGTTGTCATCACCCTCCCTTTGTCGTTCTGTCAGTTTTTGACTCTCCTCATCCCTTCGTTTTTACTATGAATTGCGATATGGAGTCTGGCAGTAGTTTGAAAAATATCTAAGCCCTATATGTTACAAGTCATCTTTTGACACCTTAGCCATTGTCATATGGGAACATTTGATCTACTAATCTTTAGGTAAAACTAAAAGATGGTAGAAGAAATTCTACTTCTTCTTCTCCATGGTAGATTTGTACATTAAGAAAACATGCTTGTGGCCTTGATAGTACAGGTGGCACGTGTGATATTGTGCGCATGATTTAGCAGTTATTAATGACAGGACTTCCACCTGGATAGGATACCTGGGCACTCCCTTCCTGTTGCACCCACTGATAGTGGATCCCCCTCTGACCGGAAACACATACCTCCTGAGTGCAATTTGTAACACTTCACTACTTTACTTAGGATCGGTGGGCTGGGTCAGGACCTTCTTGTGACGTATAGCCCTAAAGCTATGGAAGTTGTTGTCACCTGAAGGCATCGCTGGTTGTGGTTTATGTAGGGCATCCAAGGATACGCCTAGTTCTGTGGTACACCTGGCTTTTATCGTAACCTTATAAACAGACAGGTTTATTAGCTATCTGACTTTCAAATGGTGACAAAAATTATGTACATTTTATCATGCAGAATCCCAACAGTCCTATGCCTCTCTATCAACTCTCTACCACTGTATAACACAGTTCAGGCTGGTTACTAAGTAGAGCGAAATTTAATTGTGATAGTGTGATAGTGTGTACAGTGTAGGTGTTGCCAATTTTCAACCTGTGGGTTGATGAGGAAGTGTACACATACATGTACAGTGTTCTTTCACTGCCAAATCCAAGAAACGCTGAACTCGTACCAAGAATTTGTCGCTGGTATTCCCGTGGCATGTCGCCACCACTGTGTGCGACCACCCCCACCTCACAGCCCTCCCACACACTTCATTGTCTCCCACAAGAACCTCCGCGCTGGGACCGTCCCACCACCCCGCAGCATAAAGGCCCTAATCCCATGGTGGCATGACACTAAGAAGGAAATCGATGTCCCCGCGTGGGGTTTCACAGAGTGGTGGATCTGTCTTGATGACCTAAACAAACACCGCATTTGGTAAATCTGGTTTACCTTCTACCTAACGTTCCCAATCCCGCAACCCAAGGGGATCAACTTGGCCCTCCCTTCTCCGTGTAAAGGCGACCTACGGATTATGATGGCTAAAATACTTTACAATGAGATTACATGTCAGTCATTAACTTTTTGAGAATGATGGATCGGCCTCTTGTCGAACGAACTTTGGGAGTTTCGGGGAATTAAAAGTTTGAAAAATCGAAAGGTCTGCCGGAAGGCAGCTTTTCCCATTAAACATTCATAGTGTTTCGGGGAAAGATGCTAAAATCATAATCCTGTCTTGGCTCTCCACTTCTTAAGAGTCTTATATTTTATGCCACTTTGGCTAATATTCTGATATTACTGTCAAAAATATGATGGATCGTTGTGACGGGAGAGGGATAAAGCATATCACTCTCCACCCAAATTAGATCACTCACGCTGGCGTCGGAGGCTGGAAAGACGAGCTGATAGTTTTCACAGTTTGTCATCGCTTTAAAATCGAAGGGTCTGACCCAACGACATTAATGACCTTAGACTGACGATGTTAGATGCCAATCATGGCCTTCCTACAAGTCCCCACTGATGGGCGACTTTGGACTTGGTGAGCCGGCTTGGCCAGACAATAAACCAAAGTGACAAATCCGCTCCACAGCAGACTAAGGCTCTAGAGTTGGATTTGACAGAGATCATCATCCATAATGTGCTTAGCCATAGATATGGCATAAATAACGACTGTCGCAGCAGAGTTAGACAGGTGTTCTTTGAACAGGTGGGCTTTAAATTTAAATCACTGAAGAATTATGGCACCACCTTATTAAAGTTGATTACATTTTAGTGTAATCTACCACCATGATTATCTGCTTGAAAAACAGGGTTTATCATTCCTCAAATTTTAAACTGGGACAAAACTCCTGTGAATGGCATTCAATCTTGTGACCGAAGTAATCTTTTAAGAGTCTGAGGATGACCACTGAAGCTGGTACATAGTCCCACTGAGTGTAGGTCATGCGATGTACCTATTAGGCTCAACTGCTGCAGCTGTGTGGCTTAAAGGCTCATCTTCACAATGGGGACAAAAAGCAGGATTTCCTCGGGCCTTGAAGTTTAGCCCATTGCTGAACCTCTGCATGCAGACTTTTGACAGGACCCTCATCGTGGATTACGCGCCCCTCTTTTGGCCGATGATGGATAGCCTGGTGCGTGGATGATGTTATCCTTCACAATCCCTAATCGACTTACTCAAACCCCTGCAAAACAGTAACTGTAACCCCCAACTGACAGTCTTATTGTCCAACAAAATGACAAACACAATTTCTGGACATCTTAAGGCTATGACAGCCTTTTTTGACTCAAGTTTGGTCCCGGGAGACACTCGGATTGATCCTACAAAAGCATGTGTGTCATTTTGCCGAGACCCGTCCACCTGTCTCGTTTTGTGGTTACCGCTGCTCAGACCAAGTATGGCGCGCAGAGCCGCCGCCAAAGAGGAGTGTGACAAACCAGCTGCTGTCATGCCCATCGATTATTCAACAATCTTCTGAACTTACCCCCATTCATTACCCTATTCATTGTTAGCTAAGACTGGGCAGAAAGGTTTCCCCAAGGGTTAATGTGGGGTAGACAGGTAGTTAGGACCACTAGGGCTAAAGGCTGGTGCTGTGGCTTGTAAAAGCGAGCATCAGGCAGGGTTCCTGACAGCTGAAAACCTCGGCAGACTTGCACCATCCGCCACCCTGACGCCTGCCTCCCCGCAATGGCGTCCTTGGGTTATGGTCACGCGAACACGTACGTGCAACCAACGCCACACATCCATTGTGCAGCGAAGATGGAGGGTGCGGTGTCTGGGTGACCACTGACGGGCGGGCGCTCCAACCTCCAAACCAATTTCAAACCGAATCACTCTGTCTCTCCTCCCAGCAATATTTCATGAGGAAACCATGACAGCCATTGTTTGAGTCGAGGCTACGCCTTTGTCTTTCGTATTGATCGTATACTGCAATGACGTTTCTTTTGCCAAAGACACAACAAAAAATCTTTATATAGGTTAAAATGGTGACAGTTTGTCCTCCATCTCGACACTTTGGATCCTTCAATCAACACTGAACAAACCAAAGGTTTAGCTGGGATCAACTGAGGATAAGGACAGTTAGATTGATTGTCAGAGGGTGAGGTTATTCAAAGTCAGATGAAGGATGGTAAATTTCAGCAAAAATCAAAATGCACACAGTCAAAAGAAACCTGCAAAGGTTCATACGTATCATCATTTTGCACATTTTCTGTCAAACAATGTTACAATAATTAGCAAATGTTTATGGATCCAAAAGTTATTCCCTACACGGAGTTTCAGGCTGATTTAGCCATAACCTTTTTGGAACCTCAACTCATTGCTCCTGAAACAGCAATTCTCTATAGTAGCAACTGCACAATATGACTGGGGAGTACTGGAATACTAGTGAAGTAAGCTAGTAACTTAAATGTGGGCATACATGTAACTCACTACTACTCAGTGCTTGAGGTCCACATGCATACACCTGACTTCTAATTTTTCCAATCGGTGAGTAGACAGACAGTTCTTCCTTGTACAGAACAAATATGTTCAAAACACCAAAAATTAGCCATGTAACATTGAGTCACTCTTTGCAATCAGCGTTTAAGCTGTCAGTGCAATCTCAGCACGGATCTATCACGCAGCGATAGCATGAGTGTCGAGCCAGTGCCTCGCCACTCATCATAATCAGCACGGCTGGGGAATCACGTCTGCTCGCAGATATCATCAGTACATTGCCTGATGTGAACATAATGTGATTTCTCCAGCCCTTTCAACCCTGGGCCTGGGAAGACCTTGTGTGAGTAACACAATGTAGGGAGCTTAACGTTTTCGTCGTTGGTGCAATCATTGATTCGGTTGGGCAGCCTCGCGTGAGGAATTAAAATAGGGGTCTCTATCAAAGCTCCTCTTGGGCCGACGGTGGCGGGACTTTTGGTCGCATAGCGTGTAGCTGAGGTGGACCAATTCTGACAGGTAGACACGGGCAAACATAATAAATTGTGGTAGATATGGATGGCGATTGTCACAGAAGACATGCCTACAGTTTGTCATAACTGCATATCCACCACTTTATGAAATTATGTCAGCACTCAAATGGGGGGTCAGATGTGTCAGGGTGTGAATCAATGCTAATCAGATTCTCAAATATATGGATATATCATATTTTCGGTCACCCCTTCCTGCGAAAGTTGCCATTTGCGAGGGACCTACGTGGAAAGTTTTCCATAACTGGGTGTTTAAGGCCTCCCCAGGGACCCTTTTTCGAATTAAGGCGCATCCAGAGCAATGAAGTTGGTTACTTCCGCACCGCAGGTATCACTCCTCAGCCAAGGGCATGACAGCCTTTCAATCACCAGTCCATCAAATTCCAACAAAAATGTAAAATAACTTCCAAACGAGATTAACCGGCCCGTGTAAAAGCAGGCCCGTGGTGTCAAATTACCCAGCGTCGCACACAATATCGCCTGATGTTCCGCCACTCATCCCGACAAGTTAATATTGATCTTTGATCCGATTTATGATCTATTTCTGGTGCAAATTTCTTGAAAGGACTTGACTCCAAGTTCAGCTTAAGGCTTTTCCACTGTGCTAACCTCCAAGCCGAGAAGACGGATTGGTTGGGTTATTGAATCATTCCTTGTGAATTATGTATAGATGGAATATAATGGTAGTGGGCAAAAGTCACACACTGCTAATACAGAGGCAAGGTGTATGGTGAATATTTCATTTTTTTTCCTGCATGTATTTTATCCTAACAAGACTAATTGAGTCATTTTTTGTACTAATAATTTTTCCGTCTTCACATGACGTTATTTTCAGTAGGGTATATTTGTCATCTGTGTTATGAAAAATCACACTCTTGTGTCATTTGTTTTGATTATAGCGCACTCACTCACAAATAAAATTTACCTACTTACCCGTCCCCACCCACGGCTGGAAAAACGTGAATCTAGACCAATAATACATTTAATAACTGGGCGCATTATGAAGTTAAGGTTGTTACCGGCATGAGAGTACCCTAGCTCTCACGGACATGGCGCGACATTTGACACCAAGTTATGGAACACGTCAGGAGGAATATGTCTCATATGTGACAGAAACCCCAACTTTGATGCATCGCAATCATGATATCGATCGCTCAAATCAACTCCACAGAACTTTTCCTCAGAAGTACGCTGGGGGTTCTAAATTGGCTTAGAAATCAGAACCTGTTGGACAGAATGGCAGCACAGTGTGTGTTTAGAAAGTACGTTTTTCTAGCTTGGTATTTCAAGCTCCAAATGAAAGCTGATACAAAAACTGACATGAATATGTGATGTAATTTTGCCAAATACTGAACGGATTTTATTGTATATTCTATTAAACTGTTACAAGAAGGCAACCATGCACTGAATGTTGTAGCTCTTAATTGTTATCAGTCTGAGAATGCATTTTGATATTGATGATGAACTAATGTTGAGTGTCTGTTTTCTTCAGGGCACCGACAGAAGCTAGAAGAGCAGAAGCACGCCCTGTCCTTCTCCGAGCGCCTGAGTGAGCTGGGACTGGAGCGCCTCCGACACAGCCACATCGCCCAGCCCCTGCCTCCTGCCATCCGCACACCTCTCATCGAGGCACCGCCCGGTCACCACCCCCCGCCTTCAGCGTACACGCCCGGGAACCCGCAGATTCAAGCCACACAAGGTGGGCTACATTTACAAATTTAAGACACAAAATTGGCCACTTCAAACTTGGAAAGACAAAACACAGACTTGATTTTGAGATAATCTCCAAGCAGATGACAGTGTCATATGTTGGCTGCAAGATAGCATCAAATTGGCAACACAGTAACAAATATGCAAGGCAGTATTCTTTTGCCACCTGGCAGGTGAAAAGAAAGGTACCGCTACCAAACAAAAAGAGTAAAAGTCAAATAATAGTAAAAAAAGTAAAAATAAGTCAAAGCCAGGAAACCTCTGCTTGGAGATCTAATGCTAAGGTAATTTTGAGAAGATGTTGAGAGTTAAGATTCCACATATTATGCTTCACTGTTCACCTGGATATGGGGTTGATGCTCGCTACCTTCCTAGGTAACCGTAAACAGTAATCACAAGGCTTTCCCAGAAATCGGGATGGTTTTCCCCCGAAATCATCCCAGCATAGGCGGATTAGCTCACACACCTTTTCTATTGTTAGCAAAAATGTAATTGGGGAAGCTATGGAGAGGTAGGATGGAGTTCACATACTTGTGGTGAGGTAAACGTGGTAAACGGTTTGCTGAACGCATTGCGGTTTACTAGGGAGTTTACTGAAAAGTGCATACTGCTCGGGGGAAGGTTGATAATGTGAGGGCAAGACTACAAGTGAAGGATACACGTGACTTTGGCACAGTGAATGGTCATGGCTTCCCTGAGGGCAAAGACCAAACCTTCTCCTGCAATAACTGTGGCTTAACTGCCCACTTAAAAATGTCCATGGCTTAACTTTGCTGTCTTAAGTCATTGTTAAAAAGGCAAAGCCTACAAAAACAACCAGCACTTTTCCAGTTTAATAACTGCTTTCCCTTTCAAACATAATATGTCTACTATACATTTTGATTGGCCTATTCTAGTGGAAACAATAGAAACAATCACATGAACATGACTTCCTGTGGGAGTGGTCTGTACATTTCACAGATCATTCAAGAACCTAGGTTGACATTTCAGGTCTTGTAGTAAACTTAAGTAGGCAGAAAAGAATGTCAAGTAATTGTTCTTCAGGAATGCTCAAACAAGCTTCTTCAGCATTCCTCACCAGCTTGGTATTGTTGAAGAAAAAAGAAAACATTGTTGATTCCTCCTCAATTTTACTCAAAACAGTCCCAATGTGTCACTCACAATTGAGTAAAGTTCAACTTTAATTTATAGTTTGCTAATAGTTATCCTTTGACAATTTAATAAAAAACATACCAGCTACTGGTATAAAAGTGAAGACAATGCTAGGGGGTAGGAGGAATTATTTTCTAACAACCACCATGACGGTCGCCACATTTTTGAGGGGTGCTTTGGCAGTGTTCCAATTAAGACAGGTAGTACAACATCCTTAAAGGGTTGGGCTCATCTGCTATCTAAGGAATGAAGGGAATCCTCTTGGTGTGAAAGGAATGCAGGATGGAGGGATGGGGACGGATTAGTGGCATTTTCAGCCACAGTAGATTTACAACAATGGAATGTTCATCCCAACGGTATAAGGAAGTACATGTTTCCATTCACAGAGGTCCAGAGCGTGGCTTGGACCCAATAATAACAGATCATTGGCAAGATAGCCTACTTTAATGGTTAATGAATGATAAGGAAATGTCCAACGAGGCTTCCAAATTTGGGCGGCGACAAAGGAGCTCTAACCTGAGCAACCATTTATAGAGTTGGAATTGTGTTTCGCAGTTCTTTGGGGAATGCATAAGTTACAAAACAATCTAATCTTCTGGCAATGTAATGGATTTTGTGCAACGCAATTACAGTAATTAATGCCTTGAGGTTTACCAAACATTGTTGTGCACACAAATACGAGGATCTTTAATGTTTATCCATGAATGAAAAGTAGCAACTCGACAGAGAAACAGAGCACCCCCAGTAGTGTTCTTGTCAAAGGGCCAAAGTCTGAAGTCAGGTGACTCCAATGGATGGCTGCCAATCAGGACCTGCATACACAGTGCAAAACAAAATGTTGGTCTCCTTCCAAGTTTCTGTAGAACAAACATAATCCAAGAACCTGGTTACCCAGTGTTGTGTGGTACACAACCTGCCGTGTGGCAACATCGTTGAAAAGATTATCGTTCTTGCGTATTAAGTGTCGGCAGACCTCAAACTGCCAAAACGTGCGCCGCGGCTGGTACAGGTGAAACACCGCCATTGTTTTCTTTATCGGATGTGTGCGAAATGCTGAGCCGCCTCGCTGTAACCACAACAGAGGGACTTTATCTCCTGGTCAGGAGCAGCCTGGCTATGTGATACCTTTTGTTTGTATTGCTGCCCACAAAAGGCTCTTGAGGTGGTCATGTTTTCCCTGATCCCATTGTTTGAACATGGGCGGGCGAGGTGTTTGTTCTCGGCACCGGCTTGGCCTTGGTTCAGATGTGGAGATTTCCATCCCAGTGGAATGTTGTTGTCTTCCAGTTTCTGACAGGATAGGGGTCGATATGGGGGTTTCTGGGTAACTCTTTCTTTTATTGAAAACTCAGTGACAAGTGTTTCTGTGAAAACAAGACTTAGAAAATACTTTTTATTCCGTGACACTCCTCAACTCGGACTAACAACATTAAAGATAATCACAAATTGTTAACCAAGTCCCACTCTGACGAGAAGTCATAAAATATCTATTCAGAACTTTTAAGAAACAGAAATAAACCAACACCTTGATGATAGCAGTAAATAAATCATGTACAGATACACCGATGCACCATACAGACCCCAACCTGTCATCACTGCCAAGGTTTTCCAGCTTCTGTTCAAAACAAACATCCAGCTGGCATCCATGATGGAGCCAGATGGTGACCTTAGGTGATCAAAACAAGAGGGTTAACCGACAAACAGACAACCTTTCTGCCAACCAAAACTTTGCCAAGTATTTTGTAAACAGGTTGCGACACATGTCCATCACCATTTCTGTCAGGTTTATGAAATTAGATAAAGTTTCTGTCATTGAAATTGACAGATCGATTTGTCCATCAACTGTAGTTCTCGAAGGTCTTCTTAAGGCGCATTCTTGCTAAGATTGTGACATATCCGTGGACAAGGCTGGCGCAATCTCCTTACCGTACACTAAGCCTATATCAGACTCCCAGCCTAAAGGTTATCACGAAGAGGAGCCGGGGCAATTTCCAGTGTCAGGGTCGGGGCTAACGCTCAAGGGCACAGACCTGGGGGCACATGTGCCACTTTCACACAGAAGTTACCACTCCATATCTCCATTAGCAAGGACTATCTGATATGCCAGGGAAAGAATGATGTGTCTACAGTTAATCCGACACAATAAATGTAACAGGAAGTTGATGACCGTAATAGGACGGGTTATCTCCCCGACTTGGGATCGCTAGACAGGGTAGTGGGTATCGCGACCCCCAATCTGACCTTGTGATGCAATTGATAGGTTTTTGATTGATGTGTCTAATCTCCTCATTTCTCTTATCTCGTCCCTGTAGATGGAGCATCCCGGTCGCCCCCGTCGTCCTGGCCGTACCAGCCGTATCGGCCGTTTATGGGCGGCCCCATGCCCCCTCCCGCCATGCCGCCACAGACCACGGCAGCGGCGAGCATCGAGCGGATTTCTCCCGAGATGGCCGGCCGCCTCCCGACGACCATGCCTGAGGTCATCTCGCAGAGGTTTCCCGGAGACCTTCCCATCCGCTTCCCGGCAGACGCACAGTTCTCCTACCCAGACCTGCGTTTCTCCGACCCCAGACTCTCGGACCCGAGACTCCTGTACCCGGCGGCCGGCGCAACTGGGTTCACTGCGTACAGCAGTGGTCCCACCACCACCATGTCCATGCTCCCCACCAGTCTGACCAGCCCACGGTACCTCCCCATGTCTCCTCCGGGCTTCCCCAATCTCACAAGTGCCCCGGGCGGATTTGTCACGAGCCCGAACTCCCCTCCCCGGCAGCTTGGGAACTACTCCCCCGGCTCCCCACCCTATGGTATCTACCACCACCTGTACGGCGGGTCGTACCAATACCCCATGCTCCCGGGGAGTAGTGGAACGCCGCAGGGGCCGAGGGAACCCAGCATTCTCGCCACCACGTCCAATTCTCAGACTCAAAAGCCGCAGTTGTTGCCAGCGCAGGAAAAGGAAGCGGGCAGCCAACCGGGTACCGGTAACCATGGAAACAGACAGCAAGACGAGCAAATGGACACCCAGCCAGGGGGGTCACCAGAAAAGCGAGAGACAGTCTGGCGCCCATACTAATTCTGTCATCGCACGTCCAAAATTGAATTCTCTGACCAAATGATTCCACAAAGCCACATGGCGCCAAGAGGGAATTCAAACGTCCTTTTTTTTATTGTGCAAAAAACCATTTGAGAGTATTATGCCATGGGCAAAAAACTGTATAGAGCTACCGTATTTATAAAGGCACAAGATTGGTGGACAGTATAGCACTCGTATCAATGACAAGTACAAGGGTGTCAGTGAAGGCGAACTGTCTTTAGCGTAAGGTAACACGAGAGGTTATCCTCTCAACTGTCATTTGTCAGTCTGTCTTGTACAGTGTACCAAATAATTATAGCCTCTACGCCGTGATGCTTTAGAACCAGATACCGATCAGAAATTTGGAGGCAGAGAATTTATCGTGTTGTCGTTTTCAATCATGAAATGATTTGTCGAAGACCAAACTGATGTATGTGTAATTCCTAGACAAAAAGTAGGGTGTAGGGAGCAAGTAGGTGGATAGAAATTCTCATCATTGTCACTTAGAATTGAGTTGTCACTGTCATTAAGTAATTATACAAAATTAAGGCACCATACTGGTTTAGCGAGTAATTGATGAGATTTGGAATTGAGGGTAACATCTTTCACTCTTCACATTAACATATTAAAATCTTATCTAATTCATGTAACAAGATAATTAAGTGTCCATCCCATAGGAACTCGTTGAAAAAACACTGATCAAAACAATGAAGTTGTTGCAGCGTGAGTGGACTTTGAACAGTTTAGATTACAACTGTTTGTCTTGTCTTCGTTAGATCAAAGCTTGTTTTCTAACCAGTAGAACAGTCTTTATTTTGATTGAGATAATTTCTTTATCAGTTGAAATGTTTACTGATTCAGACGTGTGTGCTTACTGGGCACTGTGTGGTAGCTATTTTACAAATGCAGTAAACAAAACAAAGTTTGAAGTGTAGACATGCTTTGGGAATATGTATGACTGGCTTAACCAAAAACTGGTAAGAGCTTAGATCAAATGCTGTAATGTCAGAAAAAAACTAACACAGAATGTACATCCTGTGCTTGTTTCAAAGCACAAAATACATAAATATCAGTAAGATCATCTATCAGTAAGATTTTGTGACTGTCATATAGTTCATTGCAAATCTTAAGTATTTTGGATTCTATGTAATATAGAAATCCACTAGATTTAGATCTTATTGCGGTGTTGTATGGTTTCTTTACTGTATCACTTGGTCATACTAACAGCATTGTACTAGAAATAACTTACTGTCTCTTAAAAATGTGTCTGTATTTTCTTTACTTATATTAAACATATACATTAAAGCTATTGGTGTGTGTGTGTTAAGGAAGAGCACATTCCACTGTTGCATTACCACTTCCTTCATACCAACCTAACCACCCCTATCTCTGTAAATACTATGGTCCACTCACCTTATATTCAGAATGAACCAAACTATCTAGAGGGGGTTCATGTTGAACAAAATATTATGTGGCAACGCATCAATGCAATGGGTGAATGTGTCAGATGGGCCTTTCCATCTTTGTGCAATCTTTCCTTATCCTTTGTTTGACTTAGTATTCCAAGATTACTTTAAGTACTTAACTTTATGAAACTACAGCACAGTATCATGCAGGATTCTCTACTGACTTTTCTAGGAGACCAACTTGCTGTACCAACAATATCTGGAGTGACACAGAAAGTCAAAACTGCTGTATAGTGCACAAAAACTTGTAGGAAAGCTGCATGCTCTTATGATGTTTAATAACTGATACAGACACATGTACTGTTATGGTGTACCTGCATATCTTATGTTTGTTGCTAGAAAGAGAGACAGAGCTTTAAGATATTTTGTATTCGTTTTTGTTTGCAGTAGAGTCAGAATTGTTTGACCTTCTCAGAATAAAGCTATAAGACTATGTATACCATAATTTGCAATTTCATCTGTTTTGTCTCATTTCTTTCATACATTGTATCTCAGGGTTCTAAGTTTGCTGTGACTTATAGAGTAGACCGGATTAATCAATCCTATTCTATCTTTAGTCAGCCACTTTCCTGCAGAATACTAGTAGTCTAGTACCTGACAGATTGTTTGGCATTGGAATATTTGCCTGAAATATAAGCCATAGCTCTGAGTGGCATAGTGCTCTGTAACAACATGGGAAAGGGACTCAACTGCCCAAGCTACATTACACTGCTTCTGAGAGAAAAAAATTCATTGCCTGAAATGATTGATATGACATATGCACCAAACATTAAGATAGGAACTTTCAGATGAGCTTGGCAAACATATTGATAGGGACATGTGTTCCCAGAGTGCCTACTCTGGGAAGTGAAGTGATGATACATATAGGAGCAGTGTGAACCTAGAACAGGATGGATAAGACAGTAGTAATACTGAACATCTGGGACTTCAAGAAAACCCAAGGAAAACAGTGCCCATCTTGAGATAAGCAGTCACCTTAAGATGATGTGTACCTTAAGGATTACCAAGGCTGGGCACCTGTTTCTTTGGAAACCTAGGCATCTTGTTTACATCGAGGGAACAATATTTACCAAACAGTACCTTGTTTGCCACAAATGAGACAATACCAGATGTGTGCTTTTTCTTGGAACTACAAGATAATAATTACCATCAGAAAAGGCATGAGTGGATCTCAGGCATTTGTCTTGTCAAAAGTTTATCCTGTAGCCAGAAAGGGCTATAGAGGGGGGAATTCTTCTTACTTAGTAAGATAACTAAGTCCTAAAAGTCCTAAAAAATAAGTCCTAAAAAGGTCTTAATATTCATCACTAAGTGACAGATTAACATTTTCCAAAAGGTCCTACTAATGGGGTTTAAATCACCAACATTTAGAGCAATGGACACAAGATACATGCAATCCATGTGGTCAAAGCTGAGCTCATCAAAATAACACAAGCACAAAAGAAAAATTAAAACAAAAAATAATGATTTGTTCATTAAGCCTTAGGAGGAGGTACTTCTTGGAGACAAGAGAAGATAACAGGCACAGTAAACTGTCTTGTATTGACTGTGCTGCGGAACTTCAGAGGAAAGGAATCTAAATATTTACACCTGACTGTTGTCCCTTGTCTCTTGTGTTGTCTCCACACTTCTGTAATTGATGTGGTTTCACCTGTGATTTCTACAGGTGCATGCAATCAATTGTATGGACTTCAGGTGAATGATTTCACACAGGGATATAGCACAATATTTACTTAGATTTACCACATTTGTGGAAGGATTGACATATCAGGTGACTATCTCCTTTTCAAGATGTCAACCCGGAGATTGGACTGTAAGGTTTGAACCGCTTACAATGGGAGGACCCCTACCCTTTTGATATGCGATTTTACTGCAATGGTTACCAATAAGCCAGCATTAGTTGCATAAACAAAATAACGATAACAGCCATGAGCAGCTGTTGTTCAGTCTCCTACACGTTCAACTGCCAATCTCTGTATGTTACTGTTGGCAACAGTTGACATTCGAGAAACCCAAAAATAGAAACGATTTTTGAAATAAACTTGCAACTCGTGACAACTAGTGCGCAATAAACTGCTAGCAGTTCCTTCTACTTTTAGGTTTTATTCCTGTGTTGGCAACTACAACCAAACGATCAGTTTACCAAGGCCATGCACTTTAGCACACTCCACACTTCAAAATGAATAGGAAAAGGCATTTACCAAGTAAGATGTGTACCATGTATATAGTATGGGTTACTGAGACATCCTTCCCAGTCTCTGTGATTCAGACTTTTTTGCAGCGCTTATATTGCACTTTTCAAAATGGCTTTTATTCATGTTAAGATTCTTGTACTGAACCTGAGCATGAATGGAAGCCATCAGAAAAAAAGTGCAATACAAGTGCCCCCAAAAGCCCAAATCATGCATAGACCGTGCTAAATAGGCTCATGTTTTTTACATCTTTGCACAGCTAGCATTAATTTTCATGTCGTGAGTCATGAAAGAAACAGGCAACCCACAGGTGTGACTTGATTGTTTTGATGAAGAAGCAGAGTTGTAAATCAGCAGTCAGCAGTTCCTACACCTGCAGGATATGGATATGGGCTGGGTTCCAAATTGTACCCTAAGCCAGGCACCTGAGCAAATTTGAGCAAACCTTTTGGAGAAGGACGGACTACGTGAACAAACGAAACAACAGAACTACAAGGAAATGGCAAGGAAGGAACTTCACGTCGAGCGGAAAGAGTACAATGTTATTTTCTGAACAAATTTGAACAAACCTTTTTAATAAGGATGCGCTACATGAACAATGGGACAACAGACCTACAAGGAAATAGCAAGAAAGGAAGTATAGCAGACAGAGCATATATTCATATGATGAGTGTTCCAAGAAAAGGTTGCAACATTATTGTAAACATGTGCAGATGAACTTGCTGACTAATTTCCTTTGGATATACATGTAGTCTTGAAGTGTGATTATTCTGACGATGTGCATGCAGTGGCTGCTGAAAATACATACAAAAGAATTGGCAAATATACTACAAGTAACCAAGCAACCATGAAAAATTAGTTGAATGTGCAAAGTGATCCGAGCATTGAGAAAGTAGCATAATTAAGATAAGATAAAAGAATACCCATATAATTTTGAAATATTGACCAAGCGACCAAGCAAGATGGCAAGCAACCAAACAAGCAAGCAGCCAAGCAATAAGCAAACAAACAAGCAAAAAAACAAACAAACAAACCAATTATATTACCCAACTAACCAGCAGAAATGATTGAGACCTTATCAATCAGAATACAGATTCTCAGCATTTAATTTCCTTTGAACAACATTTACACACAAATTGTCAATGCAGTGGTTCATCACCTGAAAATCACTATCATTGAAAGATCCCAAATACACCATTTTGCCATCTTCGTAATAACAACTTTTGACAATAAAACAGTCTAACTCTGTTTACATTGCATCTGGTTACAATATTATAATAACATTATATCAGGGATTGGCAAAAAGTTGCCAAAATTGCAAGTCTAGGTTTATATTTTGCCATCATTGTTGTTGTTATTTATGTCAAACATGTTCTTGATATATGTATTTTTAACAGCTGTGGTAGCTGGCACTGGAATAACATTGAGTCAAATAAAAGATTTCAAAAATCCCGTTTTTAAGTGCTAGTATACCTACTTGCATGTATAACAAACCTTTTTTTAGCAGATTCCTAAAATACTACAAAGCAAAATGTGTCAAAAAGAGACAAAAATCTTTTGTGTGCTTTGCAGACTACGTGGGTTCATCAAAACCAGAATTCAAATCTGAAAGGTCACTACATTGTGTATGAAGCCAATATGTCCTTCACAAAAATCACTGCTATAATTGGACATCCTGCATTCATTGGGTCTAACACAGCCGTGTCTCCACCAGTGATGAGAAGGCTATAATTTAAGGACACGTGAAGTGTGCCAGAACCTACAATTATGCCTGTGTCTAATTCTATACAACATAATAGGGAGAAGACTGGGCATTGATCACATTCGTGTAATCGGAAAATGGGTGAACTCAATTGGAAGGATGGACGCTGTGATTGGCTGAATCCGACTGTCTAACACAGGATTTATAGATAATCTTACCAATAACTAAATTGCAACAAGGTCTTAGCTAACAAAGGAAGAAAAATGATGGGGTAAAAACTGAAATAGAAATACCCTAAATCTACCACCTATGCAAATGTCATACCAGCTCGAAAAACTAAAACTTTGAGTAACAAAGTTATCTTTATTTAATTCGTATTGCACCCACCAAAAGCACATATTGACTTTAAATCATAAACATTCACCGAATAAATTTATCTATACAAAGCCATAAAATCTGAGTAAATATTTTCTTGCTTCCTTAAAGTTTATATTATGAATATTACTAATTTTTCCATAGTAATAACAACTCTTTGATAGCCGCACCAAAATATACAATAATTCAACAAAGCTCAAATAGTACAATATAAATCAATGTTTGAATCTCTTTCTTGCCCTTATTCCTAAATAGGGGAGCACTTCAAAGCTACAGATTCCGCTCAATTCATCATCTGGTCATCTGTAAATCATAACTACTAGAATATCCGCATTCTACATGATGTAAAACTTTGTAAGTAAGATCCTGACTTTTGGAAAGTTTTGGAAGACCTCTCATCTCAGTGTGTGACATTTCATAGTGATTTGAAAAGATTTTGTATCATCTATCAATGTCCTACATTTTTGAGAGCGGTTGAAACTTTGAGATGCCCCCAGGACCATGCCCACCAGTCTCCCATTGTCAATGTTTTGACGCCCTGATCTGGTGGTTGGTAATTGGGGATGATATTTGCCCGAACACAAAACAGCGGACAAAAACACCCTCATGCGGGGTACCTCCACTTTTGTCAAGGATTATCGATTTCCTGGCACGGGCGCCAATGGATGATGAATACGCCCTCCTGTCCGAGTCATAAAGGAACGGTCGCTTTTTATGACTTCACGATTTCACCCTTTTATTGGAAACACCGGGCGGATTTGGCGGCCGTTCCGTGATGCCGTGTTCATAAACGATTCTGAAAACTTTTGTGCCGTTCGTCTGGTATCAATTTATAATGAAACCAGCTGTATATTTACCAATTCCCTGTCAATACATGATGACAATTTGTGGTTCTTTTCCACATAGCGCGTTAATCGGTCCGGATCTATCCTTCGTGACTGGACTCCCAAAAGTAGGAACAAATGTTCCAACTTCAATAGAGCCTGCCTTTTGTCTGGTCCAACCTATAGTATCCAGCAAACAATATCTACCAGCAGAATATATAACAGTAATTAGTTCCACTGTTAAAGTTTTATGTCATTCTACCTTCATTGCTCTCAGCAGGTGTCCAGCTATTACAATCATTAAAGCCAAGAATTTCCACAGGTAGGATGCCACAAAAAACACAAGAGAGACAATGGGTGATAAGGGCCCCACACCGATTGCACCTGGACATGATTGATTGCATTAGCGTGTGGACCAATGACAATGAGGCCTTTGGATCATATGATCAATGCTAACCAATCATAGCACTTCCCCTTCAAACAACTCTGCTGATGTTGAAGCTACCTACCTGCTGGCAACAATTTTTGATTGAAAACCTCTATCTTCAGTTTTAAGAATGTGTCATGACATAGAAATGTTGCATTGAGACTGGGCTCATTTTGTCTAATATGAACAAATAATTTGATTTTGAGGTGTAGATTTGAAGTTTGTTCAACAACAGCAAGATTTTGCGAGCAATTGCCTTATGTCCAATATTGCAACCTCAGGCATAGAAACATAGCAATCATATCATTGCCTCAAAAATACCTCTTCAAAACATGAACAGAATTCAAAGACTAATTTTTTTGCTAGATTGCACTGGACCACTATTTGGTCAAAACCCCAAGAAGATTTAGCTGCATATTTTGCAGCACTTAACACGAATAGTTTACTGAGTGTGTGACTTTCAGCTACAACTGAAATTGCCAAAACAGTCAATAAACAAACCAACAAAGTAAACAACGGGCAACAGAACAAAACCAAACAAATGTCTCCCGCCGATTTGTGGACAATTCCTGATAATTGTTGAAACATCAATTTTTGTACTGAAATTACAAAGCAGCTGAAAGACAACCCATTGCTGATGGAATATATTTTTTGTGGTGAATTCCAGAAAGTGGCCACAAATCAGGAGTGTCATGGTATGATGCTGTAGACCTTGCCGATACGTTCTAGCCAATCCCGGACAGCGTTTCGTAGCCCTGGGTCGATCTCGTGACACACCAGCTGGTTGATGCAGGGGAAGACGGCGGGAAGGAGCGTACAGAACTGCTTATCCGGCATCTGGGGAGGAACAAGAAGAGTATTATTACATTTTCATAAATTTAGAAAATAATCTTTACTTTAGTAAAGTTGGGAAGAATTGCTTTGCATAGCTGAGTTGTGAGTGTCTCCGTCCTGATTGCTTCAGATGCAAGATGGGTGGGAGGTGATTTTGACAGTTGAATGATAGGGAGGTCACGTCTGAAGGTGACTCAGCAGGTGCAGGTGGAGGAATTCTGGAAGTGGTGTAAAAGTGAGATGGCTTTTGGTATGCTTTTTTTAGTTTTATATCGAATTGAAATAACATGTTGGACTTAATTTCATACAATTAATCTGTGTGCGATATCTAGAGAACAATGCCTTTGAAATGTTGAAAATCTTTCTAAAGATTCCTATTTCCTATGTATCAAGTTTCCCAGGAGGGGATCCCAACCATCAAGTACAAGTGACAACAGGACCATAACCCGGAAAGTCAGCAAATCTGGTCAAGTGGTAACAAAGTTGGTCAATCCACCGTGAGATGACTCCTTAAGATAACACAGGCTCCTTCCAGACAGGGAAATCCAGACATACCAGCCCAGACCTATTACACAACAGCTGCATCATTCTTCGAAATACAGGGAAAACTTGTTAACTCTTCAGACCCGAAACTGCCGTGCGGCCGGTAAGCAAGTTAGCGCCTCCTATTTGTGTCAGCGGCAATACGGGAGGGGCACGTATCAGATCGCTATGGCGACGGGTGTTCGTCGGGAGGGGGAGGGGTTGTTGATCACTGTCAGACAGTTGTGGACATATCAGGAAGCTCCCACGTTCATTAGTGGTTAATCAAGCACTGGTGTGTGAAAGGCGGCTTACCGAGAGGAACAAGGGTCATTACTCAAGCCACAGAGGTCAAGAGGGCAATGATCTAATCTCATAATTGTCCTAATACAGGTTAAGTATCGCTTCAGCTGGGATATCTATGCATACTCCTGTCTTCTAAGAGTCTTGCTAAAAGCAATGGCGTGAGCGGCGAACCCATTTTTGTCGAAAAATCGATAAGCGTACGTTGGAACGAGTCGATGGTAGCCAATGATTTTCTGCCGGGAATGGCCGCATGCGATAGCGTCTAGGGGCGATTGGCGTCTTATCGTATCGGCTTTTAGCGAGCACCCTCTTAAACAAGGAGCCCACCACAAATTATACACTTAGATACATGGATACATTTGTCTTCTCGCGTCAAGTCATAAACTTTCAAATCTTACGATTTCCTTAAACAGAAGGGTTTACTTTTCCTTGTTGACTTCGTTACTACCTTTTCATCTGAATTAATATAATTTATTACTTACTTTAAAAGTAAGTTTCACAATAGCATTAACCACATACAACACATATCTATGCCCTTGTTGTCTTTGTGGTAGCAATCTGCAGTTTGCAGAAAGCTGCTAGGGGGAGTTACATTAAGTAGATTTCACATCAATTTAAAAACATTTTCAGTTGTCAGTTAAAAGGTAACATTAACCAACAAGCCCAAAAATATTTTAAAAAACATATACATGTAGAATATGTTTTAAGTTCAATGTAATCTGGGACTGTAAAGATGATATAATGTGTGCTTTTGCTGGTTCAAGATCACAAAACAGTCCCAGCTGTTGCAAAGGAGTGTGGCATGGACTCTTTGTCACTTGCAGGCTACTACCGGCCATTGGAATATCTATTTTGTATTCCCTAGGTTCATTGCCCGTTTACTAACCCTCCACCTGTTAACCTGACTTTGAATAAAACACTTCACAATCCGACTTCACCTTTTCCCTGCTAAGGTACCCTTTGGCACTAGATTAAGACTAAGTTCCAGGATAAGGCAGCAGGGAGAAGGCTAAGGCCTTGAGAAGTGCAGTAGGGATTTTCTGACTACGAAATAGTCATCAACTCAGAGATACAATATATGTACCCTGGTAACAGTAGTACATAATAGAAAAAATAATTCTCAGTGAGTCCTGTTTGTCTGGAGCATTGATGTTTCTGACTTAGGGAGAAGAGATGCTGTTCCAGTAACCTCAACTTCGTTCAATGCCTAGAAGTGGTCTCCCACTGAAGTTGTTTAAAAAAAGGCTAGGGTTTTCAAAATCGCTGGATGGACGGTTGCGAGCATTCCGTGCTGCTGACCACACGTGCCGGAGGGAGGGGCAGCTGCGACCTTCTCGGTAACCGCGGCTGACAGAGATAAATGACCTGACGGTCACAGCTGCGTGATACGGCCGTCCCCTGCGCCATCCTGCCATTAACCTGTCCAGTTGGGTTGAATGGTGGTCAGACGCTAGGGGCTGCTTTATCAGATGGCCTGGGTGGAACAATGCTGGGTGGCAGGTATGCAGGCCCGAGGTGTGGCCAGCCACTAGAATGGAACTGCCCACTGCCACATGTCTCTAAGGCTTAAGTCAAACCTTTCAGCACAGTAACAATGAAAATTTGAGATTCTCATGAATAAAGGATGGTTCAAACAAACAAAAAAAGCACACCCTTCTGCATCAAAGTTTACTTTTAAGCTAGCTTCCACTTTCAAAAATTCCCAGTTAGGGTGGGATGATTCTATACACACTCAAATGTAATTATTGAATTCAAATATATTTGAATATTAAAATATGTAGAGAGAGCATATCTATGTTGACTAGATTTGAGGTGTTTTCATTGATCTATAAGAGTATACAAGTATCCGTAATACTTTTCCTATGATAGGAAAGCACTTTTAAAATGATAGACATGAAAAAAAATGAGGATGTTATTCAAACCCAACCTTCTGCAGAAGTTGCAGAGTTGATAAAACAATCTCTGTCCAGGTCTTCACCCGGGCATCAGAATCTTTCATCACTGCCGACTTCTTCCTGTCCTGCTGGGACCTGGGTTGCTGTTGGGGCTGCTGCTTGGTGCTGTTCTGCTCACCGGCGCCATCTGGTGACTGCTGCTGGTTCTGCGCCTTAGTTGGTACAGGAGGAGGGCCCTTCATGAGGCTGGAGGTTGCCCTATCTCCCTGCTTTTCCTCCTAACAGAACAGAAAACATCAACAGAAAAAAGCTATTTATTAGACATGACTAATCTTTGCCATGCTAAGAACAACATAATTATCCTTATTAGAATTGGCTCATAGAGAACATAGTGTCAGGCTCATAGTGTAGTAAGGGTCAAATCTACAGAGAGATAGTACATGTATATACAGAGTAGAACAACAAACAGCCATGTACAAATGTATAAGCTGTGTTTTTTTAAGCCATATTCCTCTTTGGAAACACATGATTCATGTACTGTAGAATGGGACTTCTGATCTTCAAATACAGCAGTGGAATTTGCAACGAACAGTTTCAGATAATGCTGAGTATGCACAGCTATGTTTGACAACTTTAGTCAAGTTATCTAAATTTGATACATTTTTGTACCACCTGCTATGGCCAGGTGCCTGCAAAACCAACAAGATATGCTAGAGGGCAGTTACACCTTTGACCTCTACCAATTGTCCCACCTTTACAAAAGTAGTCATGGACTGATGCTGCTTGTGCTTCTTGTACTGTGCCACCAGCTTGTCGATAGTTTTGTTGGTGGCCAAGGTGTAGATACTCTCCATCTTCCCCTTCCGCTCTTTCTTATCATCCTTGGGCCTTGCCTCGTCCTTGTTGTCAGAAGACTTGCCCTCTGCACTGCTGCCACCACTGTCGGTGGAGCCCCTCCTTCCTCCTGGAGAGAACAGAAAGACACTGTTAGCTGTGAGTGTTCTCTCAAAGGAAAACCACACCCTGAGTATGTACAAGCACTCACCACCCATTTAAGGAAAAATGAGGAAGAATGATGATTCAATGGTCCAAACCCAAAGTCCCTTGCTCTGCTTGCCTGCAAGCTCAAGAAAACAGATCTTTATTTCACCTTTTTCTATTTCACCTTCAGTTTATTTCACCTTTTGGGAGTATGGTTTGGAGTAAGAATTCTTTAAAGAAATGAACTATATCTGCAGCATTCCCAGTTTAAACAATGTAGCTCTCACTTAATTTTGTTCTTGCAAGATTTTACACACTTGCATGAAGCAGACTTACTGGTAACCTCCACCTTGACAGCCTAAACTCCAAGCCACCAGACCCCCATCACCATTGGCAATGTGTGATGGGGATGTGTCACTTGGAGAGGCCTAAATGTCTGACTATCGAGGCTACTCCATCAACTTGTGAAAAAACACCAATCAGCAGTTTTAGATTAATTCTGTTTTCATTGCCATGTTAACCAATGAATTTGGTCTCTCACAATGTGAACCCAAGGGCTACAGAAACGGAGAAACCAAAAGGTGTGGAAAGGATTCTAACCAGAACTAAGAGTGTGGTTTAAAAACAACTTATTTTTCTACTTTAATTGTCTCTCTCCAGGCCATATGACAAATGCAATATCATCCAGCACACAGCATTTTTGTACATCTCAGCTTTAGACTTGTCAACATCTCAATATGTCCCACGCAAAGTGACACATCCCCCTGCCACCACCTAGTTTCAACCTCCAGTCTTACCCATCCTGGACTGACTTCCACCCTCCCCTTCTCCCACCTCCTCCATCCTCCACCCTCCCCATGTGACCGCGCCCACTTCTGCATCCCAGGGGAGAGGGTACGACAACGTGATGCAGCGCAAAAAACCTCCATTCATCTGCATGTGGGACATATCAACCGGGATCCCGGGATAACTGTTACCTTGCTGCTCCTCTGTCGTGACCTGCCCCAACGTTTGACCCTGCGGTTGGATCTGGTGGACCTCTCCGACGGGGTTTGATGATTTCTTCTCTGGTGGGATGGGCATCAGGACCTTCTTCTTCTCCTCTTTTGGATTTTGAGCTTCGGCGCTGAGCAGGAAGAGATGAGGTTCGTCGGTGATGTTATCTGCGCCCTGTTCTCCCAAACTCTTGTTGATCAACATCTGGATGTAGTTGCTGCAGAGTTCGGCCACCATTCGGTTCAGCCGGAGGAAAACCCAGTTCTGGCTGTCAGCCTCGACCGGCATGATGTTCAGCTCCTGGTGAATGAACGACTGCGCTCGCTTGAAGTTCCTCCTCCTGGGGCCCTTTCCCGGCGTGGATTCCGTGCTTGCCGTGCTACAAGCAGATGATGTCCGCTCTTTGCTGTAGAGAATTTCTTTCACCTTCTCCGGGGTGAAACTGGAGCCCGCGTGTTGGCACTTTTCGATGAGAGCGTGCATGTAGAATGTGAGGCTATTCTCTGTCTGCTTGTATAGGTTTGCCGCAGCCTCCAACTTCCCCACCTTCTGGAACAGGAACTTCAACCCCGGCCTGGCGTCAAACTCGCACGCTGTGTTGTACGACTCTAGCAGGCACTCGAATATCTTGACCAGGTTTTTCGAGGACAGATAGTCCAGTAGTCCCGGCAAATGTTCTGACTGCTTGCTGTTTGAGTTGGAGTCTTTGGACTCGCAGTTTGCGGCAGTCCCACCAGGGGGACTCATTGGAGTGGAGACCAGAATGTGTTCTTCTGCGGTGCTCCTGGTGCCGACACCGGACAGAAGTAAGGAGCCAAGAAGCTGCAGAAGGAGCTGATGGGAGATCAGACCCACCACCACGTTCTTGAAGGGAATCCTGTGAGGAATTGACAACAAATTGATAATTAACCTGATGTCTTATGCATGAACATGAGATCATGGAGGATATATTTGACCAGGATTTTAACAGACCCCACAGAAGACCACCCAAGAGGTGGAAGGACCAAATAAAGAAGGACTCCAGAACCAGTCTAAGGAATGCCCCCCCCCAAAAAAAGAAAGGGCCAGGGACCTCAAAGCCTGGAGAATAACTCGCTGAGAGATCAAAGGGCCAATTACTGGCCTAAGCATTTAGGCAGGCAGGCAGACACTTTATGTAATATCCGATACCCTACCTCTTCCCCACAGGTGATCCTTCCATGTCAGGTGGGTGGATGAGGAAGATGTAGGAACGGTTGTCGTCCTCCAGGTCTGGGTTACTGGATGCCTGCTGGTCCTCTACTAAAAACACCTGCAAAACATGATAAAGAATATTAAATAGACCCAACAGCTGATAACCATATGAACCAAGTAGTTGTAAATAAAAGACCTTTACTATTCAATCATTCACCAACCCGAAGAAATCATTTATGGACGTATACCCACCTGTTGAGCCAGACTGCGTATCCTGATACTCTCCATCTCGGAGCAGTCCGTCCTGGCCGACACCCTGACCTGGCCCACGTCCCCGTTGAACTCCAGTGACCCGGCGTTGAAGCACGCCATCAGCAGCTTCAGGCTCTTCAGACTGGCGTTGACGGCATGCAGCAGGCCCTCACACGCCACCGACCACATCTCCTCAGTAAAGGAAGGGCCAGCACTCAGCAGCAGATGTCTGAAATACACACAGAAAACATAAACACACTGTTACCATATTGTACTTGTAATTTTTAGTGCAACTCTACTAAAATAACACTACTGATGCATGTCAGCACCAGAGACAGGGAAACACTGTCAGCACCAGAGACAGGGAAAGAGAAATATAGTCAGCACCAAGGACAGGGAAACAGGGAAACACAGTCAGTACCAAGGAGAGGGAAACACAGTTAGCACCAAGGACAGGAAAACAGGGAAACACAGTCAGCACCAGGGACAGGGAAACACAGTCAGCACCAGGGACAGGGAAACATAGTCAGCACCAAGGACAGGGAAACAGGGACAGGGAAACACAGTCAGCACCAAGGACAGGGAAACACAGTCAGCAAAAAGGACAGGGAAACAGGGACAGGGAAACATAGTCAGCACCAAGGACAAAAGAAACAAAAATTGAAGACAAACCTACCTAAGACAGGCACATCCTAGTCTAGAGATAGCCTCCACAGGCTGTCCTATACACTCCACCAGTAGATTGAGCAGCTGTCGTATCATCACAGGCACGTCGGTGGACACCCAGGCCTCATCCTGAGCAGCAAACAGGTTGGTGTGTTCCACCACCAGGTCCGTGGACAGGCCGCACGCGTGTTTGAAGTTAGCCTTGGACGTGTCCCAGAAGTCAGGGACATGGTGACTGCGCCGTACCCAGGACTGCAGCATGGGCAGGAGGAGGTGGGTCACAGCAAACACTGCAAACTGGGGGCCTGCATGGGGGACAACATGAACATGATGAAACATTTGCCTTCAATACACTAGTTTAGCATTAACAAGTACCACCTGGTCATTCTGTACTACCATAGCATGACTCTGTATTGTGTAGCTGGTATAACTGACCTTTGTCATAACACATTAGCTTTCAAGCATTGTGTGTAAAGGTAGAATTGTTGTGTTCAGTGGTCATTTGGTTAGAAATCCAGCCTCTGGATTATAAGGTCAGGGGTTTGAATCCCAGTGTTCTGAGTCCTGATTGATAATACTATTTGTGGAAATTGCAGTCTTTTGGAAGAGTCATTGTCAGTTATTGGCCCACGTTTTAGGAAAGACCCACATTGATCAAGGTAAATAATCTACTACCATTCTTAAGAAGGATGTGCCCCAGCATGCTACATGTATGTCCAAAACCTAAAACTAGTTTTCAAAGCAGACGTCTAACACATTGCTACCTAGCACAGGTGTGCAAACAGGTGTGTGTTCTTACCTGGCACCTCGGCAACAGATCTAAGGAGTTTGAAGAGCAGCTCCAGGGTCTGAGGCTGGTATGTCTTAGGACAGGTGGTGACAGAGCCTGTCAGCCCTTCTAGCAGCAGGAACCACACCCGGATTACACCTGCACAGGTAGAGGTACAATCTTTTAATAATGAGCCCCCTAGCAGCTTTTTAAAAACTGCAGACTACAACCATGCACCTCTATGTAAATCCTACTGAAAAAAACTATGCCACCTTAGCCAATGTTTGTGTTTTCAGGGTACTTTACGTACAATGTTCTTGTCTTATAGGATTTTAAATTGCCTACAAAATAACACAAAAAGAAGGTTTTAAAACCCTTGTCCTGCTGGCAATTCTGTGCATTATATGCTTCCCCCGAGCTTTGGATTCCAGACCCTCTTGGAATAGGGGGTATTTCTTTTGTTTTACTAGTCTACAATGTTAATAAGAAATCTTGATAACATCAGGGTTACCTAAATAGTAAAAAAATCAAGCCTCCCAACGTATGTTGGGATCAGTGGGACAAGGGTTAAAGACAAATAGATGTGAAACTCACCTGTGTTGTCATCCATAGAGAAGACAGGATAGTTGGCCATCGTCCTCTCTCTCCCATCATCATCATCTTCCTCCTCCTCATCACTGTCATAGTCTGTCCCTCCTGACCCTGAGGCCGACTTCTTCCTGACTGCTGAATCTGCGGCTTCCCTCCTGGTGTCTATCTTCAGTACATTGTTGATGTTGATGTGATGGGCACCCTGGTGAAAAAAATTGTTAAACTGAATCATACTCATATCTCATTACTTCAGTGATAATTCTCTTTCAATAGTTCCTAAAACATCATACAGCTATCAAGTAATATGAACAATACCCTATTTTCATTACCCGTCCCTCCTGAAACACATCAATATTTTTTGTCCATTAACTGTGGCAGACATTGCTTTCTAAAACATTTTCATCAACTATGATAATTCTACCTGTGCTATCATGATTATTATTCAATATAGACATGAAGCCCATTGTTTTCTTGTATGTGGAGGTCAATATGTTATCATGTTATGGATACTGATATTTGCATTCATAGACCAATACATATCAAGTATAGCCCCTAACCTTTGAACTACTGGTAACTTTTGACCTATCAATTTTGACCTCTGAACCCTCACCTTGAAGACAGGACATGAAGGCATGCTGTACATGGAGGCCAGGGTTTTGTGACACCTGTGCAGGTACTCCAGGGCAGGCAGGCACAGGTCCCCACGTTCCCTGGTCTCCTCCTGGTCCGGTGGAGCGGCCTCGATCTGTTCAAAGTCACTGTCAGGATCTTCCTCATCATCTGAGTCCGAATCCCTGTCTCGGTCTCCTGTGGGGAAAAGAAAAGATTGTCTTAATCCTAATTCTTAATTGAAGAAGATGTAAAGTTTGAGCCAACATCAACAACAGAAAACATATCAAGTATAAAATTGCATGTTTTGTAGGTGACACAGTAACTGCTGTAAGACAGTACTCTGAAAGCTTTTGTAAAAAATAAGATCATTGTGCTTGTTTGTGCTTCACTTAATACAGGGATGGTTATAAAAAATGATATCAAGGACATTTCAGTAAAAGTCTGCTAGGACCTTTTCATCAGGTGGCCATTTTAAATTTCAGATAACTTAAGTACGAAAAAAGTAAGAAACTATCCCAAACATTATTCCTAATTGTTCCCCTTACCAGGTCCACGGATGAACTTGAGCAGACAGAGGATACAGTCCATGGCGGCGTTAGCGAACACGTGGACATTCTCCGTACCAAGGAAGGCCTCAAACACGTCAAACACCGGCGCCGTCGGCTGCTCGTGTCGTTCCTCACTGATAAAATAGTCCCCTCCCTATGTCATACAAACACAAACATATCATATTTACATTATCAGAGCAAAATCCATTTGTCAAAATGTCACATTTATGACATAAACTTTACATGTACATGTACATGTATGTATAGACTAACCAAACTGCTGTGTTGAATTCAATGCAAAGTACCATTAACTATGTACTAACCATAGTACCATGAACTATGTACTAACCATAGTACAAATGTACCATGAACTATGTACTAACAAGTCCACATACACAATGTGCATGTATATGTATGTAGTCATTACAATCAGAGTTTTAACTCTGTTCAAAGATTTACTACATAAACTGGTAAATAAAATCGTTCAGTGGCTTACTAATAAAACCATAAATTTAGCAGCTTTGTCATAATACAACAGCTGATTACAAATGATTGGATCTCATCTATCTCTCTACAAAAATATAGATACACACTAGTATACATAATCATGATATTCAAACAATACAAAGTTGAAACAGATAATTTTTACCCTTCCAGTGTAGCAACTTCTCCTCATGACTGAAACATTTAACTATACAGCACTCTTTAGAAGATCCTAGCAGAATTCTATATCAGAAACATTGCCATGTTGTCAGTTACAGGCCAGATCCTTCTGTGCTTATTGATTTTTGTGTTTGGGGATGTGCTGCATACAAGGGTACACACAGCTGAGCATCCAACTGTTGGCTAACTGCCCAAACCATTCAACAGTAACAATTTTCTTACAAACCTCCAGTATAGTTAACCTATAGCATAGTAAAAACTGTTTTGTACCTTTGGTTTGTAGACCTTGACCACCCTAAGAGCACCAAACAGAGGTCTCCATCCTGACTTGATACTCGTGGTGCAAGCTTCAACCAACTCCGCGATGGAACTCACAACCTGATGCACAGAATAAAAACTTAGGTTGCAATGTATCTTATCTACAGTCTGTGCAAAACTACTTGATTTTCAGTCTAATCTTCTATATGTTTACTTTACAATTATACACTTAATAATATTGGCATGGTAAATTTGACAAATGCAAAACAGTGTTAAATTCATGCAAAGAGATATTCATTTTGAACAAACACATGTGCATGTATTACTAAGTATGTGTATCTTATGTCATAACTTCATGACAAATAAGATCAAATTAGTAGTGTGAACCACAACAATTGTCTTGTTTAAAAGATTTCTAGTGTATTTACAGAAATGCAGTTCAGAGATAAAGATGAAGTAGAGAAGGGTTAGTTTGTTAAAGAAAACCAAAAAGGAAAAGGAGAAAATACTTTGGGATTGAAAAGAAAGAGTCTCTTGAGGAAGACACCAAAACTCCCATTGCTGTCAGAAATAAGAAGAAACAAAATGAAGCAAGACATGTCATCAAATAGCATAGGGTAAGTTCAAAGAAAGCAAATTTCTTCTGCCTCAAAAATTTCCCCCATTTTCATTATACACACTAGAGAGACCTATTCCAAGAGAGATGCCCCCCTCCCCAACTGACCAATTTCTTTCCATAGCCCTTACCTGGTCTTGTACATCGTTATCACACAGCTCCAGACATAGGAGGTTCTCAAAGGGTTTGAAGAGCGCCTCATTGAAGTTAAAGTGCGGCTTCTCTTCACGATTGTTCAGCAGCTCAATCATGATGTCATGGATACATGTAACAGCCTTCTTGGAGACATGGCGGTCCTTATGACAGGCAGCCTGTAAAAACGTTGTGAGTCTTTTCTCCAAACTCATTGACTCTTGAAAATACAGTATTGTTGTCAGACAATGCTTAAGAATTCTATAATATATACTGCAGGACATTTAATTGTAAACAGCAGCTTCAATAACATTTCTGCTGGTAGCTCTAATTCAATACTATATGTTCTTTTTTTTACAAGGCAGTACCAAGGACATCGTCACATTGCACTTATGCAGCTGTTGGGAAACAAACTTTTGGGAAACCTAGCTATGTTGATGTCATGAGGTATGTGGAAGAGTACTAGTAGCAGAAAAAAACAACTTTTTACTCAGAAGACAACACAATTGCATAGAAGTACATGTAACAATGAGATCACGAAAGTACCATACATTCAATTCTTTGCTTGGAAAGAAAATGCAGAGCCTGCCTACCTCCACTAGATGAGGAGCCACGATGCCCCAGGCTCGCATGATGTGTAGCAGCGGTCGCTGGAAACTCCGGGAACATCGCAGCATGACCTCACCTAGGTGACTCAGGTGCAGGTATGAGCCGAACTGACTGCCATTTCCTGTAAGATTTATTCCTCTTATTAGATATAGTTCAGGAATGCAGTGCTAAAAATGTTGGTGCAAACCTTTTCATTTCCTTCTTTCCTATATTATTGTTGTTGTCAAATTCTTAGTACAAGGAATACACTAAGCTTATGTGATAGCCACATGTACATGTATCTTACATGTGTAGTCTTTTGTACATCTTGGTTTTTTGCGCAAAAAAACTATTGGCATTATATCCAGTGGATTGTCAAACATACTAACTCTTAAACACATGCCTGCCATAACTTTCAATGATTGCTTATTGAGAACACTCAAAATAGGATTATCAATATCATCATAACCCAACCTTGCAACAAGTTACATGTACCTGTGGGTTTTGGCATCATGCCAGGGTCGACGACCTCAGGAGTGGTACTGAACAGCTGGTCAGCTGACACCTGGCGCAGCTCAGTCAGGAAACCCACCAGGGCGTGCAGGTTCAGGCTGGTAGCCGCCTCCTCAAATAACCTAGGGGTCAAGGGGCAAAGGTCACAAGACAAAGGTCATTTCACACCAATCACAGGTAGAAAAGAATCACCTGTATATTCGGAACTGTGGGATAGTATGATGTAATTTAATAGGGTGTTCCTTCCTGAATTCCACTATATACAGCAACTTACTCAACTCCTAGAACGTCCTGGGTTACCTCCCTATCAATCAACTGTCAAAATCACCTCCCACCCACCATGCCACCAAAGCTATTAGGGTATGCAGATCAATTTTCATGCTATCCAGCTTAGGAGTCTTCCGAGGGTTAAAGGAGCTTGCACATCAATGCTGAGGCTTGATGGCAGTCTGCCATTTGCCTCTATCACGTGGGTTGACTATGGAGACACAGACCCACAACTCAGCCACCGGAAACAATACTTCCATCCCTGGAAGTGATAAACTTTAATGGAGGAAGTTCTGACCTGTCCACATCAGCTGACAGCCTGTACACGGCCTTGGCTGCGTTAGCGGAGCTGAGCACGCCGCCTCCCTTAGCCGACATCTCCAGCCCCGTCTCCTTCCTCCCCTCCGTGATCATCTCATGGATGTTGATACTCGGGATCACAGGATTGGCTGCCGGGATGTACATGGCTTCTGGGTCACCTGGGGTTAGAGGGTAAAGGTCAGTAGCCTGCTTACCAAACCTATTTTAGCTGTTTTAGAGTCTCTTTCATCCTCTACATAAATAGGGGAGGATGAAACAGACTCAGCAGCTGAAATAGGTTTAGTAACCAGGCTAAAAGGTCAAAGTTTGAGAACACAAAATAATTAATATTGGCAGTGTAATACAGTATGGTAACTGAAACTCTGAGGCAACAGTTTTCTGAGAGGTACACTCTCCATGCATCAGTACAACAAGGAAATTTGTACTTTGTGATGCAAGGAATAATTAATGGTTGAAGCCCTTAGCATGCAGTTTGGTGAATTCTATCAACATTGTCGGAAACCAATCATTATCAGCTGACAACATTATCACTATGGACATTTATTGCATTGTTCATATTTTTATGATTTTAATGGGTTGTGTTTGTGTGCAAGCTTTGGCTGAAGGAGCAGGTGATTATTTGTGTCACCTAGCAGCTTCCCTTCAAACAACAGATTACATGCCATGCACAGTGAACAGTGAGCTTCATACACCAGACTTACCATACAGTAAACATGTAGGCCCAGCACCAGGAAAGGGTTGCAGACAACAAACGTTAAAGCAGACAAACCACAAGTACAAGTACAGGTACAAGCAAAACTACACACAGAATATCAGCACATTCATTTTCATGTACATAATGTAACACACACATGTACAGAAAGCATAGCAGTTATGCTAGTCAGTCACTCAGTGCTTAATTCTTGCTGCTTACAATTGTAGCAGCAGATCTTTAAATTTGACTCGTTAAAGTAAATTTTGTTGCCATACATGCCAGGACTGGCATTAAGGGCAGTAAGTATTACTACTAAGTAAAGCGAATTTTAAGAGACAGTGTAATACTTTAATCATAGGCTATGTCAGACTGTTGTTGGTCTTTCAAAGGAATTTGCATTACCGGTAGCTCTCCAAAAGACTGGTTCAGGACTAGAGACAAAACAGCTATATCTGGGTCTTGACCCCTTACCTGAGAGGTCATCATAGGTCGTTGACATGTCCTGTGGCAGCTCCTTCTGGTGTTGCACCTTGGGAAGGCTGGCCTGGTTGTCCCCTCCGCTGAAGTGGGAGTGTTCCAGGTGGGACACATAGGCACAGCACCTGGGAGTGGGGAGGGGGGCGACAAAAGAAAGGATACTACATATGTCATGTGGCATTGGCATAATGGTTGGGTATTTGGCCCAGAACCCATAGGTCCTGGGTTAAAATCCACCAACATGCCTGATGTTGTGTCCTTGGGAACAACACTTACTTCTTTCCTCACTTCACTCAGGTAAAAAAGAGTAGGGGCATTCCCCTGTGTGATGGTCCAAATAATACTGATTTGCTACTGACTCCAAAAAGAATAGTGTGGGCTAGTCCAATGGTAGTGTGTACTTATCTGCATTTTCCTTACCTGAAGACATGTTTCCAGCACTCAGCAGAGTGACTGCCCATCTCCAGCCCAGTGTTGAGTAGAGCGTCCATGCTCAGTACATGAGCAGCATGCAGGCGGAGTGGCTGGGGCTTGTTTATCTTAGCCTTCAGACCCTTCTTGTCCCCAGGGGAGACCTGTGGCTTACTGGGCTCCAGGGAGATACAGGAGGCGTTGGCTAACTGGGCAAACACTGCTCCACACCTCTCCTGGACACCTGGGGGAGGGGAGGGGAGAAGAAATGTCAGTTACTGTAGTTTAGACCACACTTTATCAGATAATAAGAAGCTACCCTTTGATAGTGCTAAGAAAAATGATGCTTAGAATTATGGGTAGAAGGAGTCTGTGTATTAAAAGGAAAACGGCCACACCAAACCTGTAAGTTGACATTAACATAGTTAATCAAGGGGGAACTTAATGAAGCAGCTCTTTAGGTTTATGAAAAACTTGAATGTACTACACACTGTTAATGCCCAAAGTTACATGACCAAACATGTTAGCCACAATTTGTTTCAAATCTGAAAAAAAAACAGACCTCTAACATCACTAGGCACAGGAACATCTGAGCAACCTGAGAGATATTGAATGGTAAGATTTAAAAAAAAGAACAATTAAGGCTTATGCTGCAAATCAAATGAAATACTGGAGCAACAACATCATCATCAGCACCAAGGACAGGATCCCCAAAGTACCCGGTAGCCAATTATTTTATTCCTTACTTAAGACTGACACGGAGTTTGTTTTAAAATTTTAAAAGGAGCGACAGAATCCCTCCTATGAAAGCTAAACCTACCCAGGGTGCAACTGAGTCGTGCAGCCTTCCTCAGCCCATCCAGGCTCATACAGATGGCGTCTCTGTCCTTCAAGTTCTGCTCTTTCGCTCCCTCCGTCCCCAGGATGAGGGCAATGTTGCTGATTCCAGCCGAGTTCTTGGCACTGAGAGGGACGGCCATGACGTCCACCATGCTGTCCCAACAGGTCAGCAGGATATTATGGACTAGCTTCTGACCTGGGACACAACAGTCAGGAGAATATTATGGGTTAGTATCAGACCTACAACAGGCCCAGTCAAGAGGATATTATGAGCTACTGGTAGATAAGAAATGACAATTAAGAATCAAAGGTTTGGACAAGAATCTGCTGTCTTACCAAGTTTTGTATTGAATTCTGAAAATGAACAACTGGTCACCGATGAGAAAAAATAAATCATTGTTGTTTATCTGAGGTTTTGAAATTGTCAAAATCAGTAACTGTTACCTGCAGCAACTGCTGCTTCATTCCCAGCATCCTTTTGGACAGGAAGAACATGGCTGACAGTGGCATCATGCACCATCTGTCCTCCGATGTGTCTGTTTCCCATACCATCAATGTCTGAAAGCATTTTTAAAGCAGTTTAGAACAAGTACAACTCTTAACACTAATAAGAAATGTTCACTAAATAATGTTAATGTACACAAAGAGAGATGGCCATACCTGTTAACATGGTTATGAGAGCCTGGTTACACTGTGGGGAGACAGGCAGGTAGCCGGCTGCTCCCAGGATGTTGACTGTGACGATCATCTTGTACAGCTCTCCCAGCCAGGTGGAGGACAGGTACACCAGCACTCCGCTGTCATGGACATCCTCAATAAACTGTTTCTACACACAGGGGAAGAAAAATACAATTGACTTATAATAAGCTTTTAATGTCTTTTTTTTAAAGAAGACATCATTTTTCATCCCTATAATAAGAAAAGAAAGAGTCTACCTACATGTACATGAAAAAATGTCCAAATGTTTTTAAGTTGTGTATCCATCCATTCATCCATCCATCCATCCATCCATCCTTCCATCCATCCATCCATCCATCCATCCATCCATCCATCCATCCATCCATCCATCCATCCATCCATCCATCCATCCATCCATCCATCCATCCATCAGTAATTGACAAATCACCCAAGTAACCAATTGATACTTATCAACAGATTGATTGATAAATCACTAGCCAGCCTATCTACCTGTGTCATGGGCAGTCTACAGTCCTGTCCGTTGTAGTGCCCCATCCTGACCAGTTTTAGGTTCAGCAGCAGTGCAGAGAAGGTGGCGACGTAGACCCCGTCAGCATTCAGAACAGGCAGGTTGGGGGAACCCTGGCCCTGCTTGTGTTTCTCCATCACTCCTACAGCCAGGAAAAAGTGAAAAAAGTGTAATAAGCTCTTAGACATATCTGTAGTAACTTTCACCATAGAAGTATTGTTTTGGGTGGCTCATAATGAGTTTGTGTCTCTGTTTGTCCTAATAATTACAGTTGCATTGTGGGTGGGAGGTGATTGACTGAAAGGGAGCGTGCATACTGGATGGTAAGTGGGTGGTATGTGGAGAAATTCAGAAAGTTGTGTAATACCGAATTAAATTCCATCATACAATCTGCTCCACAGTACCAATACATTCAGGAAAACCCAAAATACTTCCCAGAAGACATGTAAGCATGATTGGAAAGAAAGGAAATTTTGAATCTGATGATGATGAGAGACAAACCTGCACAAAACCGTGAGGCAAATGTCTGCAAGGCGTCGTCCACTCCTTCCGGCTCTATGACTGGCAGGATGGAGGGAAGAACTCCGATCAGACAGTCTACAAAGTCACGGGCACCCTGCCTCTCCAGCTCCTTGTTCTGCTGAGCAATGCGCTCCATCTCAGCTCTCTGCAGTGCCACCTGGCGTTCCATCTCCAAACTGCAGTGAAAAAAAGCATGCTGATATCAAGCAGTCTTCAGCAACTCAACATGCTCTTTTGGTCACTTTTGGCAACAGGAGTGACCAAGAAATATATGTATTTTCACCTGATCAAAGATTACAATTTTACATGGTGCTTGAAATGAAGATATGCACTTCTTTACTAGCAAGTCTTATGAGAGGCAGTTTCATAACCAACCTTGGTGGAGGTTTTGGCGTCTGAATGGGGGCATTTATTTCTTTCCCTTCCTCTTCCTGAGCAGCTGTTGTGCTTTGTGGTTGTCCCTCTGCCTCCCCCTCTTTCTCTGAAGTGGATTGGTCTGCCTTCCCATCATCCTCTCCACTGGCGCCATCCCCAGGTTCCCTTCCTTCCTGTTTTTCCTCTCCTTTCTGGTCTTGGTCTTCTTTCTTTTCTACAACCTCCTGCACATCTTCAGAACCAACTTTGGCTTCTTCATTTCCGTCTTTCTCTTGAACTCCACTCACATCTTCTTCAGGTTTCTGCTCTTCTGTTCTGTCTTTATTTTCTTCATCCAACTTTGACCCCTCTTCTGACACACTTTCTTCATTTTGAGGTTCCTTTTCTTTACCATTTTCTGTAGCAGGTGTTTCAACCGTTGACCCCTCTTCCTCACCTTTGACCTTTGACTCCTCCACTTCCACATCCCCATTGACCAATCCCCCGTCTCCCTCGGTGACCCCCCTCCCCTGTTCCTCCTCAGCCTCCTCCATCTGCCTGTTGATGTCCTCTATCTGTGTCTCTGTCATGGCGTGCCCCTGGCTAATCTGCTCCACGGAGCGGAGCAGCCCGGCGATGCAGCTCACACTGGTGTAGCAGACATCCGAGTTGGAGGAATGAGAAGCTTCAGCAATGCCATCTACCAGCCTGGATGGGAAAGACATAACGACAAACTGATGATCTAAAATCTCCATTATTTTGCTCGAAAGACACTTTGTCACAAAGTGGCAAGGAGACATACAGTCACTGTTGAGGACACCTCCTAATCGTAATGATTACTTCACAATACCACATGGCATTTTACATGTATATTGGTGTTACATCATGAAAATGAAGACAATCTATCATTACTTACAGTTTGAGTAGATCTGTGTCTGCCTTTCTCTTCTTGGTAGGTTGCGCTTGTTGTTTAGTAGTGCTAACATCTGAGGTGGAGGGGCCAGCAATGTCTATCACTCTCTCTGGTACTGATAAAACCTGCAATATGGAATCCAATTATAACCTACTAGTAACAATCAGCACCATAATGTACCATTGTAGCAACACAAATGTTGTGCATTGTAGAGGGCTACTGATTAAATGATAGGTGCTGGTGGATATTTTCGTATCCCAAATACAGTTAAAAAATCATATAATATTTCAAGGTTATTCCATACATGATATGAAATGTATTGTTTACCTCTTTGATAGCCTTGAGAGCCTCTAGCCTGTGCTGAGGTGGGGGGTACAGGAGGATCTTGTGCCAGAGGGACTGCAACACTGGGCGGAGGGACTCCACACTGCCAACCAACCGCAGCAGCTCTGCAGCGATCCCGTAGATTGTACGTGCTGCTGGGCCAATCACAGAGGGGGCTGCTGCTGATGTACCTGGGAAAAGAGGTGAAGAACATTTTAAAAAAAACAAGTCTTTGTGGAAATTGGCTGGACCTTCATAAGAAAGTAACAAAGTCCTTTGGCACAACTAACAATTTTGTGCTATTCTGTGATCAACAAGAAATCAGAGATTTTAGACTTTAGGCAGTATTTTGGGTTTTTGTGACGTGACCTTCAAGTTCACCTCATTTCCTGTGTCTGACCTTTTGACCTGTCATTCTGCCTGCCAATCTTCCCCCACATATGTGCTGTCAACCTAGACTCTCAAACCTATTTCCTGTGTCTGACCTTTGACTGTCATTCGTCTGCCTGTCAATCTTCCCCCACCCAACCTACTAGTTCTCTGTCCAGATACACAAACACACAGCTCAGCTACCCAAAACAATACATACTTCTATACACAGAAGTAAAAAAAAATCCAACTGACCTGACCCCCTGCCGTGGTCGGCCACAAACCTGTCGTCCATACTGGTGGCCATGACAGACTTGTCCGTCACTGGACTGCCCAGCAGGAAGATCAGGGATGGACACAGCTGCTGCCTGAAGGGGGAGGGGGGCAGGAGAGAATACCTCATCACATGAAACTGTGTAACATTCACATCATTGTACTACATAGAAATATATACTTTCAGAACAACGCTTTCTAAGGTCACATCTATTTATGTATGACTCTTATCCAACACTTTCAGCCAGTTATTACATAATATGTATTTGCAGCCTCGAAGACTTCCTCTTAAGAAATCAGACTTAAATAAATGTTGAAGCAATAGCTCAAAAGTATTGTCCATAAAAATAGTTAATCTTATAATATACAAAAATATGAAGGCAAATATGTAGAGATTAATTTTTTTTTTTGCTTTTCTACCACATTTCAAAGTTTTTCAGTACCAAGGTCAAGGACAACTTGTATGGTTTTCTTAATCCAACCTACCAGACGAGGTCGAGGAAGTCCTGGTTGTACTGTAGATGTGGGGAGGAGCTGGTGAACATGGAATGCACACACTCCAGGTACAGGGGCAGCAGGGGGCTGGGCTGCTGACTGGACACACTGGGGGAAACAAAACCATGAAACATCATATCACAAATGTGCAAAGTTAAAAGTTGTTGAAAGTTGCTCCTATAACAGAAGTGCTATGGGACTGATGATGATGAATGTGCAAAAGTGTGTGTGTTATTTCAATCAAATGAAACAATAGACAACAATTGACAGATTTAAGACTTCTGGAAATATTGAAGCGTTCCTCGTGCAATCTCTGGCCTCCTGCATGCTGGCTCCTGGCCAGAGCCTGACCTTTTGGCCTGTCATTCTGCCTGGGCATCTTGGGTCACCTTTAGGCTTGACCTTCCTATCAATCGTCTGTCAAAATCACCTCCCACACCCCATTCAACCAAAGCAATTGGATAGAGATGCAATCCCACAAATAAGCTACCGAAAACAATACTTCCATACCATGCCTGGAAGCGATAAAGAAAAATATATTTTGAGTATCTTACCTGCAACACCCTGATATTTTCTCACAAAAGTACTTCAGTATCTTCATCACATCCCCTAGAAGGGACTCTGCCTTTCCTTTGGTATCTGCATGGCAAAAAGCAAGATGTAACACACTTCACACACAAGCAAGTGTTCCTTGATTTTTGATAAACCTCTTTCAAATGCATTATGATCATATATTATAATGTCATACATCATGTCACATCTAAAAATAGTATTCAATTAATGTTACTAACAACATTTAAAACCTTTTCTCATGATAGATTCTTTGAAAAAAAGTGAAGAATATAGAAAAATAGTTCTCACCTTTGGAGCTAAATTCAGCAATAGCATCATTAGTATCATCAGCCTAAGGGGCATAAAAAGTATCATAAAATAACCTACAAAATTACACTTCTCCCTACTTTGAAAAAACTGTCAATATCTCAAAAAACAGTTGTATCCAACATGCAATATGCTCCTCTCATTTGATATGGCATCAATCCACCAGCCCTGGTCAGAAACACATACTCATATCTTTGCATTTAATTCTTCTAATATTCTCTGGTACAGCCCCAAACATCTTTTTCTAAAAAAAAAGCACCATAGGTGTGAGTAATAAGCATTTTGGTGTCTGTCCTTGGTGCTGATTTTGTGTCACAACAACTTGTAAATCCACCATTGATAACTAATAGAAACAGGCTCTGTCCTTGGTGCTGAATACAACTCAAGCACACTTTGCAATTTTACAAATGACCTTTTCCTGACAACCATTTTTCCTATAAACTTTGAAACACAGATTTTATAAACATTCTTACTGGCCCATTTGTAAAGTTTAACAAACACATTCAAAGGGCAAACAATACTGTGTACAAAAACCAACATCTTGAAAACCGACACAAACACCACAGCATGCAGCATGCAGACACCAAACCGTCTCTATACCCACTTCATGCCTGGATTTTCCAGACGTTTCAAATCTTACCAAACTCTGGATCTGAGCCTCCCGCAGCTGTTCTGCCACCTGACACAGTATCTGGCTGACTGTAGCTGTTACAGCTGTCTTTATGCTAGCTTCTTTGGACTTGAAAGTGTCTACTGAAATCTACAGAGACAGATGCTAGTTTACATAACAAACTGGAATGAAACATTGCTGTAGTCTCGATAATAAAATACAGTTAGACACCAGTTCTGTTGTTAAAGATGTCTCTAGTAACCAAAGATTATAGTTTCAAAGATTATTAAATTGGCCATGAAGGTTATGAAATTTGGTATTTGGTTAGGTCTTGACCCATCAACGAAATGATTAGATTTGGTCTTTGCTGTCTTTCCTATTTCCAAACAGAAAAACTAAGATTTATGAAAACAAATGTTGATGACACAAAGAATATTATGTCAGGACACCTAATTTTCGTTTTTTAATGGCTGTCTTAGAAATCAGATAACGTTAGCAGCTACTACAGAATAGAAGTTGTATCACTGCATCCCCAATTTTTTCCAATTACCAATCTAGAGACTGCTTTAAAACAGATCTGGTGTCTGTTAGTTGGTTGGTGCGTGCGTACCTTGGAGAAAGCAATCTTGTAAATAGACTTGTGACTGTCGGTCAGTACGCGGTGGCAGAGGAAACTGAGTGTTTGAATGACCACAGACTTGGCCATGGTACTCAACTGTCTGTTCCCACCCAGATGGGCCACAAAGCAATGCTGTAGGGTTAGTGGGGAGGGGGGCGGCGGCAGGAGATGGCAAAGAAAGAAAGAAAAGAAACTAAAAATGAGACCAAAAAAGTTATCAAGTAAAATCAACCAAACAAAATCAATTGATGAATATGGAAGTTAGAATAACAACAAATTAGTAAGATTATTAGTAAGAACACAATACAACAGAGAAAAATTGAATAATACACCACAATGAATGTAAAAAGATCAGGATGTTTTAAACGTTTTACGTTATGGATATTGTTAGTGCTTTGCACAGCAAGAGTGGGCAAGGAGAAGTCACCTGGGTAACATCCTTTCCACCCACACCCATGGTCTCTGGCTACCATGGTGGTAGCCAGCAACATTAGGGAGTGGGCAGAAACTACAGAGGATGGCACCCAGGGTAAGGGATAAGTGCATTGTCAGGTCTACCAGTGCTTACGTTAATTGTGTCACACGTGTCTGATAATGACATATGTGTACAACATAACAAGCATACATGTACTAGTGCTTAATAAACACAGTTCACAAAGTGAGCTGAACATATTTTGCATGATACTGTTAAATATATACCAATACTAACTGCAATAATGTAAGGAACAAAGTACATGTAGATCAATTTTCCTTAAAATATTTTGATGGCAATGTTGTATTGCCATTTGTTAAGTGCCAGGAACAACAGCACAGATTCTGTTTAAAATACACCTGATTTTGATGAAATACCTACATGTAATATAATTTCAAAATGATTATCTTTGTTGACAAACAGGTCAATACATACAACCTTGTTATGGAAATGATATATACATGTACACAAAAGCACCTACCTCAGCTATAATAAGGATGGAGTCTGCAGTGTTACAGCAGTTAGGAGAACATGTCATACTCAGGAACAACTGGATTATTGGAATAGATGGGAAAGAAACATTGACACCATACTACAAAAGCAATTGGAGGGGGCAAATCTCTGCCATGCTTCAGAATCCTCAAAACATTCCTGAATTTGGGTACGGATCCATCCTAACTTGTTTTAGTACATTATTTCTTAATAGCAGTTTATAACAAATGACAATATTGCCTAAAACAAATAGATAAAGAAAGGGAAATTTTAAGTGAGTCTTACCTTCATAATCTCCATCTGAACATCATCGCTACAGTTGGGCGCCACCTTCAGTGTGTCCAGGATCTGGTACGGCATCTGTTGTTCTCTGGTCTCCTCACCGAGAGAGTGGAACCGCTCGTCAACAAGCATTTTCTGTACGGCAGAAACACAAGGCAATCAGAGACGGCAGATTTCACCGCTTTTATATTGTCAAAAACACACACAGACACATCAAAAACAAAATTTCACTCATGTACTTTCACTTGAATGTAAAGTAAAAATTAGAAATCACAAGGTTCCAAGCAAAGTTTTGCAGACATTTCACACAGATGATAATGATTCAGTTAAAAAAAGTACAGATATACAGAAATAACAACATCTGCTAGCAAATGCAAATGTTTCCCTCCCCATCTCGTCCTGAAACAATAGTAATAGTATGATAATAGTATATTTGGGGATATTGGAGTCCCCTGTTTTCCAGCATGAAGAAGAATCCGAACATGGAAAGGAAAAAAAAAAGTGTTACCGGTAGATGGGAACATTATGAGATTTGAAGATATAACCTCCTTAGTTTTACCTGTATGCCTCCGACTGCCTGTTGTCCCAGCTTACTGTTCTTAGTCTCCATTGCCAGTCGTAAGGCCTCAAGGACCTTTTCTCTGGTGGGGGGAAGGGCGAAAAAGGAGTTACTAGCACTTTAGAACCTGCTTTGTAATGGATGCTTTTCCAAAGTAAGAGACTTCTTTCAAAATTATGAAATCTTGAAACCAGGGTTTTACAGTATTTTAAGTTCTGGCAATATCATTAGTAGGTACATGTGTTATGTCATTATATGTTATATAATGACTTAAACATTTAGTCAATGCCCAATCTCTTACCTGAGTTGGAATGGTTCATGTGATTTGGTTTGTTCCTCATTTTCAAGTAAACCTGTGGAGAAAGGGAAAATGTCTTAATTTCTTTAATAAAAAAACAAATTCCTAGTACATTGACGATGAAAATTTGCTGCCAAACACAGTTCTTTATTATAATCATAATAATTACCATTATCATTAATTACTATGACAGTTTCTTATCAATTTCCCATTAATACTAGAAGATCATATTAAATCCAAATTTATCATAGCTGAAAACTTTCAATCAGAATGATTGTTGTAACATTAGAAATGATCAAGTATCCTTTAGTTTATTTGATTTTGTACAGTCTTTTTTTTTTTCTTTACAAATACTGTTTTTATCTCAACAGACCCTGCAAAAAAAATACGCCTACATATATACCGGGAGTACATAGCCCGTGTGCACCTTTCCATATCTCTTACATTGTGTACCCAACACCTTGTACAAACAAAGGTGCGTACATAAGCCGGGGTGTGTACAGAAAATCCGTGACGTGTACTACGTGACTCCTGAACAAAAACTACCCCCTTTTAGACCTTTCAACCAGGCCTTCACCTTGATCAAACATATCTATCAATAATTCGTTAGAAAACAAAAAGATTTCAGCCACGCTTTTTTGTTACCAAGGAGCGTTCGGCAGACATTATGACTTTACTGGTAGGTAACCGCGCTACGTGTGACTAGACTCGAGTCAAGCATCCGGCAAGGCTGAGTGTTTGTATATTTGCTTTCTGAGGATTTTAAGGTCAGGTGATATAGAGGAGAGGTCCTTTTTGTATAATATCTCCCAATTAAAATCAACACTAGGCCAAACTTCTATTATTAGAATTAAAGTAAGTAGATTTATTTGGGGAGAAAGTTTATCTTATAAGCAAGCTAAAATGTTGGTCTTTAACAGAGGAAAATAGGCAAAATTTCTTCTTCTCCCATAACAGTCTAATTTTATATGTACAACACAAAACATCTGCATATGTTTAAATTATTTCTGGTCTTGATTATAAGAATTAATTTTTTGCATCATTAAATCATAAGCAAACATCTGTGTTGAGAAAAAAATCAATAGTGAGGGATCATTCATTCAATTCGATTTGATCCTCCAACATTTGCCAGGCATCTACTGATAAATTGATATGTAGTTAAACACACTGATATGGAACACACACTTAGTCACATTTAATCAAGCTGGAAAGACACTTAACATGATAATGTTAGCTGGACATGGTACAAAATAATACAAGAAAAAAATGTTCATGTCTGTGTGATTTTGTCATATTTGAAAAATAATAATAAACAAAACTGTTCATTTTGTTAATGTACATCTTTCTAATAAAATGGTTAGTGTTTTTAGTGCACTATCTAATTAACTTTGTTTGTTAAGGTGGAACAACCTAGGGGGAACTAATTTGCATTTCTGTCCTCATCACCATATCCCACAGGACAATCACTGGGCTGCCATGTTGAATAAAACAAGGAGGGAAATTACAATATTGGTGTCTACAGAAACTGTCATTCTGGGACATCTTTTTTTACACTACAAGCTAAAGAGTGGTTTTGGTATTGGACAAGTAGTAGGTTGTAACACAATGCTGTAACGTTACTTCTATAGTACAATACATATAATGTTAGTAATATATTGGACATTCATATCTACAGCGTCACAAATTGCAGGAGAGATCTACAAGATTTACAGTATTTAGGACGATTTGTAACCGTACGCGTTACTATTCTTTTTTAGTCCCGAGATGAGACTAGTGAACAATATTGTAGATTTCTGTTCATTGCACAACTGTTCTGTGTCTAAATATATCAGTTCTCTAAGTACTGATGGTTTTGAAGACTTAGACAGATTCCTGGGAAAGTATTTAAACACATATCGCATTGTAAATCCCTAGCCTAAACATGCACTACGGATAGGCAAAACAACAGCTGCATAAATACTTCTGAAGCGTTAAGATATCTCTTAAGGTTTTATAATTATACAGTATGTAACAAGGGCCCAATGATTTTTTAAAGCATTATATACAGTGGGTTTCTTTAAAAATTGTCAAACCTGTAGCCTTAAGACTAGCACCAGGGTATTAACTTAATGAAATTACACTGTGCTGTACAGTTGACTTCCTACTTTCTTGGAATTAGCCTTAAACTTCTAAGAAGTGTGATCAGTCAATTTGTTTTTCTTTGTTCACATTAAGTTTTCACATATCGTCAATCT